CTGGAAGCTGAAGCGGCATCTCACGGTGCACACAGGTAACAAGCCGTTCTTTTGCAAAATTTGCCAAAGAGCGTTTACAGAGAAGAATAAGCTGGAAAATCATTTTAGATCAAGTCATCCGGAGGATATGACTTTGCTGGAAGAAGAGCTTTCACAAGTTGAAGTCACAATGGTAGAGCCAGAATCAGCTTTTAGCATTGTGGCAAGGTCAGTTGATGAAAGAATTGTTGTCAAGCAAGAATCTGAAAAGGGTGATGCTAATGATGAAGTATCGACAGACCTTCAGCTCGTCAATGAAGCAGATAACAACGAGAGTGAAACCTTCCCTTCCAGTTTTGCAGTAACCGGTGAAACTCAGACTGAAAACGAGACCAGCCAGTCTCGTATCAAGGAACTAGTGTTTGATTCCAAAAAGCCTTTGAAATACACTTGTCAGGTATTTTCATGCCTTCTTATTTTTATCGCTTTAAGGACCTTGCCATTGGTAAGAAAACTTGACATTCAAAGAATTGTTTTCAAAATGAAAAAAGATTGTTATCATTTCAAAGCTACAAGGCATTTAGGAGCTTTTCTAATAACCACCGATGTTCACTTCTCTTTATACTTTTCATATCTTTTTACCACGATTTTTTGGCCATTCGTGCTCTGGAAAACAATGCTGATAATACGATTGCTATGAATGATATTGCTATGATAATCCTATGAAACAGTGGAGAAGATTAGACTGTTTATTGCGATTGTAAGAATGATCGTGGTCCAATAATCTGGACACTCTTTTATTGTTATTGGTATCATTTATAAAACCTATGTCTCAATAAAAAGGTTGGTGTCATCACAACACTTGAAGGGTAAGTAGGTTGTTAGGAACATCACTACTTGCCTAGGAAGCTTGTCACCAAACGTCAATTTGTTCGTCCTGTCAGTTATGATTGGGAAAGATTTCTGCTTCTTCTAGGTTTGTGGAAAGAGTTTCATCACACCTTCAAAGTTAAAGAGGCACAGCTTTTCACACGGAGAGCAAAAGCCGTACAAATGTAAAAAATGTGGAAAACGATTTTCAGAGAACAACAAGCTGTTCAATCACCTGATTACTCACGAGAGATTTAAGGGAAGCAAGTTAATCACAAAGATCCGGCTTAAGGAAGAGGGGGATCCAAGGGAAGATTCTGGTAGATCTATGGCACACATTCAGACATCGAGCTCGGTGATCGTTGTCAGGGGGACTGAGTCTGCTGAAAATTCAGAAGAGTTTGATATCAGCAACAGCAGCAGGACAGATCACAGAGACTACCCATCTGAAGTTGATATTCAGAGGAAAGAAGTGGGAAATCTAAGAGCTGAGTCTCACATCAAAGGCGTGGCTGCCAGCGAGTACTCTGAGCCATCTCCAGATATGCCTGTGATTTTACCAGCCCGAGAAATAATCAAGAGCAACTCAGAACAACTGAAGATGTTAGTGGAAAATGCTCTGGGCAGTTCAACCAAGGGCATTTTAGATAGTCCCAAAAAAACCGGTGAAGATATTGCATCAACAAATATGGTAACAGTGGAAGCCGGCAAAGGTCAAATGGCTGAAACGCTAAAACCAGCTCGCCAGTTAAAAAAAGTCACTGGCCTAGCCTCACCAAGCTTCGGCACTCAAACAGCTAATGTCCTGTCCGCTAAAATGACAGAAATGTCTGAAAATCAAACGCATTCAGATCAGTTGGAATCCTCGAGAACAGCCAGTCAACTTTATTCTTGTGACACCTGCCACGAATCTTTCCTTTCATATTTTAGTCTCAAGCAGCACATTACAGTAAACCATCCTGAACAAATGTTCCAGCAAGAGAAACCATCAGACGAAATGCGACATCGGTGCACAGAGTGCCATAAAGGGTTTAAAACGCCTTCTAAGCTGAAAAGGCATTTGCTGTCACACACCGGAGAGACACCATATCACTGCCACTTGTGTCCAAGGCAATTCAAAAGAAATGATTCATTACGCAAACACATGGAGGAGCATAATCGCACAACTGATTCAAGCAAAAAGGTATAGTTGAATTTTTCTACTATCTGTTTACATCTGAAATGTTCGTAGCGAGACGTCCTTTGTAGTAGCAAAAAAACCTCTCATAGCCTATCCCTCAAATTCTAAAAGACGTTAATAGTTCTAGCCTCTCCTGGTGTGGCTGTTAGCGAAAAAAACGCTATTGTATTTTCTGTTCAGAGGATTAATTTATTATGTTTGAAAAAGGCAGTTTGTTTAATTTCCTAGGGCTGAAGTTAATTTGAAATTATACTGCTTGTATATAAATAGCAATTTTTATCGTAATTTATTGCACTTTACCAATTAAAGCGATTCAGAGTAATTTTGTTGTTCTTGAACTGTTTTATGGGAGGGAAAGCATATTTCTTCTATAATGGTAATTTTTTTTTCGTTTCAGACGCCTGGGCATATCAAACTCTAAAGATTATGGTTTTAAGCATTTACTGATTGCAAACAGTTATGTTTTCAGACTTGAAGTTTTGTATATATTTTTACATTTTATATTAGATTTAATTCTAAGTAACTATTGATGCAAGTGAACCTGATTTTTAAAGATGCTACAATTTTCATTTCGGCAATTTCTTGTGAACAAAGAGGTTGTGATTGCATAAAATAAATCCGTGATTTTGTGACATGGGCTGCTAGATGCGGATAAACGCAATAAGCTGATTCAACGAAGTATATGATGTGGTAATTACCTTAAAGCGATATGAACCTAAGGTGGTAAGGAACCTAAGGTGGTAAGAAACCTACGGTGCTGTAATGAAACTAAGATGGTAAGGAACCTATGGTGTTGTAATGAATTTAAGGTGATAATGAACCTAAGGTGGTGATGATTTCTGTTTTTATTTTTACATTTTCTATTGAAATGGATTAGAACTGAAAAAAGATGATGTAGAATGATTTGCCTACCTTTCTTAACCTTTATCCGTCGACATATCTATGTATCATAGATCTCTCATTCAAAGTTGTGAAGGACTATGCATCCTGAGTTACATAAAGTGAAAATCCCTTATTGGCCTCCTTATAAGCCTTTTTGTTTTTGGTATTCAGGTACTTATTGTAGTAACCCCGTTTCGTCTGTAGCACACTAGAGTGTGTCATTTATTTTAACCAGGTCAATGATCATCCGTGTTTTGTTCCTATTTATTATTTCTTCGGATTCAGTGAAAGGCTTCTGACTTTGACTTAAAGGCTTTTGCGCAACCAGCATGCATTGCAGTTATATTTTCAATACCGGCAAAATATCATACTGCATGAAAATACAAAGCACAACCAATTTCTCAAGAGAGCTGTCGCTAATCATGTCGGTTGCGCAAGAGACTTTAAGTTCCAAAAAGTTGCTTGCTGTAAAGCGCGTTTTCAATAGATTTTCTATCGATAATTAGGCTGTCGAAATAATTGCGAAGTCTTTATGCACATTCATCATTTTATAATCACTTTATATTAATTTGAAGCAAAGTACATTTACTCACATCCCTGTGGTGTGCTGCTAGAGCCAAAATAGTTAATTTCTTACCTGATTATAAGATCCTGTGCAATAATCTCTTAGCTTAGCTGTTCGTTTTAGTTCTAACCCTTTAAAGTAGGAATCGTATTTAGTTGCATTAGATATATAAAGTTTATGATGCCAATTTTTTATCACCTTATAATCAGAAATAATTACGTGTTTAATCTACAATACTAAAAGCTATTCACAAATTATTGCTCTTGTCGTTTTTTTGCTGTGTCTCCTAACATTACTTAGATGTCACAAAACTTTATTGTGCCACGTTTCCAAAGTCATGCAACAAGTTTCATCATTGCGAGTTTTTCTTTGATTTCCTGTTATTATTTTTGGGGTTTTCACCAGTTTTTTGCTACGTAAGAGCACCCGCTCATCACACAAGCAACAGCTGGCCTTAGCATAACTAAAAGTTTCCTGACATCCTTTCTTGGTCTACCTATACGTCTATTTTCTTGAAAAGTAGTGGCTGCATATTGTCCTATTGATCTGACAGTTTTAAATCTTCAAAACTATGCGGTCTGTTCCTGCTTTCGACTTTCAAGCAAAAGAGTCAATCAAATAAACCCAGAAGCTTATGAAGTTATATTGTCCACTATCACAATATAAACATTCTTTGCTGATCAGAGTTCGCTTTGGCATCATAGGAAATTTCCTGCCAGCAGTACATGCTCGCTTACTTGCTCCATCTCAAAGATAAGGGGATAGAATAAAACACTCGGTCCTTCCGACATAAGAAATAAAACTCTCCCCCTGACAGAACAGCCTCCTTGGTCTTGCAGATCTAAAACAACTACGTAAACATGATCATGCTGTCGGGCAGCATTTACCTGAGAACTAAGATTAGGCTAAAAATGATAACGATGATACATTTCGAATAACTGGCAGAGCCCGTTGTCTAGTCTGTTTGCATACTTGTTCAAGAGTCAAGCTGCACTGACTGGGCAACCTTAATATATGCTCGTGTTTCTAACTGACCTGTTCCGATTAACAGCTCCGTGATATTTCCTAGCCTAAATTTTGTTTTGATCATTCTGATGTGCTATACACACTGCAGAATCTCAGACGAAAGGCTTCAGTGTGTTTCAAGGTTTTTGTAGCCTGCGCGCAGTCTTTTTGCTGGACATACGGGAAATATACATTCCTCGTTCAGCAACAGCAACAGCAGCAACAAAAGACTGCGCGCAGGCTAGGTTTTTGCTGTCTTCACAGCCATTTTTAGATTTTGTACCGCAAAAAACCCGTTGGGGGTTGTTTTGTTAAATGTCTGCTAAAAAAGCAGTTTAATTGTGATTGGCTGCCTATTGAAAGATCTGGAGTAAGCCACTTTTGTATCACTTTGAGACAGTGCGATTATCTTTAGAACGATAAAGGTTAGTAGGTAGAGAGATTGGCCAAAAACATATGTTGGGAAGGTGACTGCAAAGGATTTCCTCTATCCGTTTCAAATGATTTTTCAAAACTAGAAACATTGTCCTTGTGATTCTCAAGGCTTTCTTGTAAACGCAAATCATCTCGTTGTTCAAGTTTTTGTCATTAAACATTAAAATCAATGGGCAATAGCAAATATGGAATATCATGGAGGTCAGGAGATCTTTTAGGAAATTTTCACTAGTGGGGGATTGACACAAAAGGGCATTTTTCTTAATGTGACGCAATTGACGTCAAAAACAAAAGCAAAGGGACGAGCATGCATAGTATGAAAGGCTTCAAGGTCTTGCACGTCAGTCCTTACTCCCATGCAGCGAAAAGTTACATATAAACCAGAGAAAATAACGAGCTTTCAGATCCTGGCATGTTTGCAGGACAATGACGCAATTTCAGGCATATTTGAAGGACAATGAATTTTCCCGCAAATTTCAGTACCTCGCTTTGGTGTTGTGCAAGAAAATCAAACCGATTCAGAGATTTACATTGACAATGAAACGAAAGAAGAAACACAAAATTTTCCTTAAATTCATTAATCAATATTTTTCTGAGAATCGTCGAATTGTTTATTCTAAGCGGTATAGTAAGTACTTTGTTAAATTTTAGTCTTTGCTAGCCCGATGGCTGCGCGGTGCCTGATTTGACACATATCCCTGACTAGCTGTTCTATAGAGTCCCTGACTGACTGTTTTATATAGCATTTGAAAGCCCTTTTTAAAACTTAGTTACCTATCAAAACAGACACGTCGTAGCTTCAACACTGTCACTTTCTTTTTCCTTAGCTAGCTTCTCCAAGACAAGATTAAAAACGTAAATTAATTCATCAGCGTAATGAAAGAAGTTCTTTACATAACAAAGTCACCAACAGCTTAAACAATACCTTTTAAATACCTTTTTGTTGACTGATCTTGTCGTTGAATAATGCTTGTGAAGGTATGAATAGCTGATTTTATGTCACATGGATGATGATAATGATAATGTCACCCATCTGCATTAGACTTGTATTGCTTCTTTCCAATCGGTTGACTTGCAACGTGTGAGGAAAAAACTATACCAACATAAAGTTTTTATACTCAATTCCAATGCACACTTGCACGCCTGTTGCTTTGGTCTTACAAATGACACAATGTATTGCTTACTTAAGCACTGCTACAATGAACGCAAACTCCACAATCGTGCAATCTGTGCCAAAAAGCATAAGCCCAAGGGACACCAGAAAGGCGTACCCTTTTACAGATGAATAATGATAAAATTTTGTTTAATCAAGCCATTTGGCAAGAAGTGTTTTTTATAATGTTAGCTAATTTACTTCGAATAGAGTGAAACCAGTGACGTTCCTATTAAATCGTTCTGATACCTTTGCTTTGCAAAGTTTTTTAATAGTCTTATTCAAAATAACAGTTCAATCCTTTTATATCATTTTTTCATCTAAAGTTTAGATTTTTCGAATTCTGTACAAATTTTATTTTACTTGATTTCAATTCTCTAAATGAACCGTCACGGCAATTCCTAGTCGGTCGTGTTGTTGTATCTCTGGTAGCATATGGGTTTCATTATGAAGCAGCGCCAGGAAAGAGGATAAAGAAAGGAGCAGTTCAAGCTTAGAGTAAAGTGATACAAAGGCATAATATTTCTAAAGTAAGAGCCCAATCTTATATTTAAAGTTAATGGGCTCCGATACAGGTTGGAAAACCGAGGCCAAGGAATAGTTTAGCAACCACAACAAAAGATTTTGGAAAAAGCTCTACTGTTTTGCAAAAAAGTAGGGGGCCATTCAATTACCATACATTTGAAATCGTTTTCAAAGCTGTTGCATATGTCAAACGGGTGCTCTTTCAAACGGGTGAGTCTGTGGAGTGCCTGGCTGGATGACCCCTTGTTTTACGTCTGCTGGTATTCGGTAAACATTACCATACCCAAAGCAGCCGCACTTGATCACGTGCCGTAATGAACTTTGCATAGTTTGTTGATTTGTGCACAGGGATCTGACGCTGTTTATGAGCTTTATCATCCAAGGGAACGGGCGACAAGAAATCTCGGAAAATCTGTTTTGTGGAATCTGGTGTCAAAGGATTGCAATTTGCTATAGCATGCAAGCAAGAATTAGATACTCACCATGGCTAGATACTTGACCTCAGGGTAAATTTTCTTGTTCAAAAAATATTGCCGAAAGATGAAGCAATTTCTATTCTTTATTTCGATTGCTGGATGTTTGATCTTGCAAAACTTTTGCACAAATCATATCGAAGCTAGAACATTGAGCAAAAACTCAATCACGCCAAGGAAATTTCCCAGAAAGAAAGGTAAGGTGAATAGGGATTTGAAATCATTTTAGATGCTTTTTAGCTTGTGTTGTTAAAGTTGCATTTGTAGGTATCGTTGTTAATCGTGGGCTAGTGATTGTGTTTTCCCACAAAAACTACAGGAACAAAATTCCATAACTACCTTCTGTTGTCTCTAGTTTAAACATCATCTGTTCAATAGATGATATTCTCGCAATAGATTATGAAATTGCAAATGACCTACAGTTTATCAGATCTTGATAAGTGCAACTTCATCTTTTTACATATCTTATGAGTGCATGTAGATCTGGCCATAATTCCACAAAATTGATAAAAAAACTAGCCTAAGGCAGTCTGGCAGGATCTTAGTTATTTTGAAGAATCCATATACTGCTATCGCACTTTAAAGTTTTAAACGCTGGACAAGACGTGTAGTCGTTTGTAAATCTGGAATAGCCGTATAGACGTTTGAAACACTGGACAAGATATGTAGTCGTTTGAAGATCTGGCCTAGCTGTATAGACGTTTGCAGCATTGGACAAGATGTGTAGTCGTTTGTAAATCTGGACTAGCTGTAGCTATAGTCGTTTGTAAATCTGAACTAGCTGTAGCTATAGTCGTTTGTAAATCTGGTCTAGCTGTAAAGACGTTTGTAACACTAGACTAGCTGTATTGACGTTTGTAACACTGGACAAGATATGTAGTCGTTTGTAAATCTGGTCTAGCTGTAAAGACGTTTGTAACACTGGACACGGTGTGTAGTCGTCTGTAATCTTGATTAACTGTGTAGACGTTTTTTAAAACTAGACAAGCTGCTTAGACGTTTTTTAAACTTAAAAAGTTGCGTAGAGGTCCCATTGATGAATTCATATTGCTTTTTAGCAACACCAGCTAGAAAGGAAAATGCATCAAAAAGATCAAAATATGACAGCGAAGTAGTCAGTAACTATGCAACGGAGAACACGCCAGTATTCTGGAAAGATAGCTACAATAGAAACATAAAAGAAGCAGCTAAGAAAAACGAAGAAGGAACATCTCCAGGTGGCTTTGAGCTGGGTACTGATGATCTACCCAGTACTGTTGGTCCCAATGAAAATATATATGGAGGATTCCCTGTCAATGATGTGCTTGGAGGCTTTGAACTACCATCTCCTGAGACACTTGCCATCCTGAAAGCCGCTTTAAAGAAGTATGGGCCTCGCAATGAGTATGAGACCCAGCTACATCATGATTTGGAAAACTGGGCATATGGTTACGAACATCATGCATTGCCAGAGTATGATGTGAAAGACACACCTCCATTTTATGTGAAAATGCTTCAAGGTCTTAAGATGGCCGAGGAAGGGAAGAAGAAACCGAGCTGCCAGCAAGATTCTGGGGCATGTCAGCCAATGTTTCATTTGAATGATGACCAATGTAATAATCTTGCAGGCAACTGTATGCCTTCAAAGCCAATAACAAATTCCAATTACGAAGAGCCATGTCCTTGGAAGATAATAGAAATGCTTTTTGGTTGCAAAAAGCCTGCTGGTCCGAAAATACCGAGTGAAAAGCCAGATGGAGCTGCCCCTCCAGCTCCCAAACCGGACGAGCCTGAAAAGCCAGCAGAAAAGAAGCCAGATAAAAGCGAGGATGAAAAGGATTCTGAGGGAAAACCAAAGCCCATTCCAATAGAATTTGAAGAAGGCCACGCAACCCCTCAACATGTCGAAAAGCAAGTACAGGATATCAAAGATAATTCAAATAAAGACCCGAACGCGCCTGTGTCAAGTGATGCAAGGCAAAAAACTGCTAAATTGCAGTCACAAATTGGCCTCCTTGGAATGCTGAAGTCATTAGGTTCGGGAGATCAACAAGCAAAGAGCTTGATGAACATTGGCCAACATGGGCCTAATACAACCACGAAGAATGAGGATAAAGAACATCATGGAGGTGCAAGGTCATCCAGCAAGCCAAACCAGAAACCAGCCGTGCAGGAGGATAAAGTAGAGCCAGGTAATGAATCAAATATAGATAATAATGATAAAAACGTAATTGACCTGGGTACATTGCCCGTTCCTCAGCTGATACAAGTGGAACAACTGAAAACAAGAAATTTGCAAGCATCGCGTAACCAACAGGATGAAAGCAAGGCAGCACCAGTAATAAAAGGCCATAAAACGTTTTCCGAAAAAAAAACATTGTCAAAATCTAAACAGCATAAGAATTAATCCGTCAAGTCGGGAACATTTCTGTCTCCAATTTTTTTTAAAAAGAATCCCCAGAAAATACAAAAGCCTATGCAGAAATACTTGCAAATCTCAGTCATTTTATCTTAGAAGGGCTTGATTCAGTAAGACTAACAAAATCATATAGAATTCTCAGTAAATTTACTGTAAAAATTATATTAAGGGGTCTTTAAAACGAAAATCAATTTTGAAAAATGCAAACTAAGTTTATTTTTGCTCCCTTGTTGCTGGTTGGTCAGAAACAGTAAATGTTGCCTAGCCTTGTTTAGCTAGCTTTGACAAGGCTAGGAAACAAAGGACGCACAAAGGAAAAGGTGAAAAGCGGAGCTGGGCCTTAATAAGCAAGGATCATTGGAGCACTTTGAAAATTTAACGGTAACAGAGAAGCATATTAAAGTCTTAACAATACAAACCGAATCATGACACCCTATCATACGATCTTCGTCAAGTAGACTTTTCTCCCGTTTTTACAGTATTATGTCGTTGTTTAAATTTTAATGTAAATCGATTTGTGACGACAAATTTTTTGACACCTGAAAAAAAAATTTAACAAGCTATCAAAAATATTGTTTTTCTTACTGTGCCCTCTTAATCTACACATTATTAACTGAAATCCCTAAACAAATGTCCTCCAAACTGCGACAGATTTCACAAAAATTTTAATAAGAAATTTAGCAAGATAGTACATACCAAACACCTTCATTTGTCAGTAACTGCGTAGATTTGGAGGGCATTTGTAAGGCACCAGTCAGAACGTGAATTTAATCTATCTAGGAATAATTCATCACAGCCATGGACATAGATGATCATATCCAGGGAGTACTAGGGCTGACTAGCCCTCTTATTGTCTTGAAATTCAGTCCAAAAATTGTGTTTAGTTGTTTCAAGAAGGATCAAACAAAGTCTAGCCAAATCACTGGCTTCCTATCAAATATTGTAAGTTGTTCTTAGTTCTAAACTTTATGGAGTATGCACCAAAAACGGTTATACTTTAGCAAGAATTCTCTCGGTCATTTTGCAACAGATAACAATAATTTTCCACAGTTAGAGGTGTTTTATGATAATTTTTAGGTTCTCTGGTCAAAATTCTAAAACCCCAAAGTCTCCTTGGTAAGCGCTTTCCATTTCATTTGATTGATCGTTATAAATGAGAATGGAGTATGGCCTAATGGAATGCTACAATCCTTCTAGACAGGGGTGCAGTGGCTGGGGGAATGAGACAGTGAGCAGGGGGCTGCAGTCCCTTCCAAGCCAACAAAATCAATGCAATATTTGCTACTTTAAGGAATATTTTCTAATTTATTGACTATATCAAGTGGCGAATCAAACCAGAGGTTGTGGGTATTGTGACACCCTCAATAATAGGCTTAAGCAACATACTTGGTGAATTTGTATAGCATTTCTCAAAAATCTGCTTTTTCCTTTATCTCAGATAGTTTTGAATAGACCCAACTGTTCTTAAAAAATAGGAAAATATTATTTAGGTTTTTGAGATTAAACGGTCAAAATCCAAAACATAATTTTGATTTGATTATCGCTAAGCAGCATAATCCTGAGTAAAAAAGATAGCCAAAATTAACAAAAAATTGTAAAATGCTTTAAAAGAAGCAAAATGGATGCACCTCAGATTCATTCGTTTTAGTTTGACCCGGCTTATGTCTATGCTACATGACAATTTGAAAATCAAACTTGTAAAGATGAATCAAATATCTAATTAATATACTATAAGCCTTTTTCCATTGCCCGAACAAAGTTTTAAGCTTTCTTTTCATAAAATCTCTTACGGTTTTCATCAGAACCACCACAGCAAGAAAAGAGCCACACTTACGGCCTGGTGACCAAATCTGGCCCCTAATAAAATTAAAATTACACAAATTAATTACGTGTGATGGTAATTCACTACAATTCTGTTTATAGGAGTCAAAATTACTTACCCACCACACTTTTGTAAAAACATGGTTCACATAATTCTTCTAAAAATTGATTGAAATACACAAGAAAGTGGTAGATCATTTTTCTAAGATTTGCCTAGGAAAATATACCTGGCATAAAGCATTGACATGAAGCACAAAGGCGGCTCTCATGGGTCACGCCTATAACCATTCCAGTCTCATGATGGTGGCACTAAGCATGAAATTCGGAGGAGCAACTTAGGAATTACCCTGGGTACCAGAGCCACAAAAGTTTGAGTATATAAGTTGACAACCAAGCGAAGAAGCGGAGGAGCGTCTAGCTGAGTAGACTTTTCCTTCTTCTCAGATAGACCCTCGTCTTCTTCTCCAGCCCTATCTTCTATTTCCGCGCTCACAGTTATGTGGCTCTGATACCCAGGGTACATAGAAGCGTCCTGTTCTATAGACCAAAAGCATGAAAAGCTCCGCCCATGCGGACTCAGAAAGTAGATTTGCTTTTAAGGACTCAAAATCAGATACCGTAAAGGCTCTGTTAAGCGTCCCGTTTTAAGCCCCCCTCTCTATTACTTTAAGCTCCCCCTCTTTAACCCCTGATGTCAAACAAAGGAAACATTCGCATTGAGTGGGTCTCTTGACGGGTGTGATGATAATAAGGCCCATGTAAAGATTTCCTTAAGCTCCCTAGAAGCTAAGAGGATAATGCTGTTGATTCTTCCGAAGAAATAAAATTGATCAATTTTGATAAACTTTCGAAGCTACTAGCAAAGTTTTTTGAGAACAACTTGTACGACGGTTTTATAACAAAAAATGCATAATGCAATTTTCATAACATTTCTTACTTTAGATTATCAATAAGCCCCACTCTCTAATAAGCCCACCTCTCTTTTAAGCCCCGTTTCTATGACTAAATAAGCCCTCCCCCGGGGATCTTGATAGAGCATTTATGGTATACATATTTGTATACAATTCTCAGTAACAGCTTCTCTAAAAGTTCAAGTAGTTTCTTCCACCTTTTCTCCACTTCCACTCCCTTCCAAAAACGTTGGAGTTTTTGAAAGGATTATAGATTAAAGAATAGATATAGCTAGCAAAGTGGTCTCGTTGTTGGTAAAACCTTTCTTCCTATCAAATCAGAACTCGGCATGTATGGTGCTGGCAGTTAATAATTTTCTTTCTATTGCGCATGCTCGATTTACCTCGTCGATATAACTTTGCAATGTGGTTTGAAATGGCAGGTAAAAGAAGATCAACGATACTTAAATTGCTGAAGAAATAATCGAAATCGAATAAATAAGTATCTAAGAGACTACAAACAAAAGTTATCTTTTATGGCTTGGATTTATATGGAGATAATCTTTATGGAGATAATCTTTATCTGTTTACAGTAAGAAAAAGCTAATGGCCTCTTCTACTGTCAAAAAACCTGCTATTGGTTGTAGGCCATTGTAGGTAGCTTGTGGACAATGAAAACACGAATTTAATCAACCACGGCGTGAATCATAAACATTTTCTTCTGACGTCAAGCTAACCGACCATTGTTGCATACAGCCTGGTGTGTAGATTAACTGTACGCGCCGAAAATTGAAAACTAATATCACTTGATTTGGTCTTGCAAAGCCGGTTTGGGAATCTTTCATAAGATAGCGAGGCCATGGCAACTTGATTAAACGGGTTAACCTACGAACTAAGGTGGTAAGGATCCAAATTTGAGACTCAGTTTTGCATTATGTTAGGTAGCCTTATTGGTGGTACCTGCCAAACAAAAACAAAAATGACATTCTGGCTTATTTTTCTTTCTCTGAGAATTCGCTTCTCCTACTGTTTGTGCCTACCAGTTTGCTAAAAAGCACCTGTTTAACACAGTAATGTTTCAAAGAAAAAATTAAAATCATCAGAAAACGATTGATCAGTTTATAAAAGTTGCAATTTTCTTAATTTCGACTGATGCACATTTCTCACAAGTTGAAAACATTAAAACCTAATAGAGACATTGTACACCAAATTTATTGGCACGAAATCACATCCCCAACGCCAAGGGGGGATAAAACAAAGATATGGCTCTAAATATGACCGTGAAAGAAATCAATTTTTGCCCGACGTTTTTTGATGGACCTGAATTGTAGGGCGCTTAATAGTGACGAAAAAACAGTGACATACAATACTATCCATTCAATTTATTGCTGGTCTAAGAACTTAATTGTAAGAGTGAAGACAAACTTCAGGTTCTTGTATATTAAGGTGCATTCTGTGGAAGTGTTTGTTCTCAAACAAAACTCATCTCTCTGTTCGTTCTATCTAAGCTTAAGTTCTTTCTTGGTTTTTCGAGCAGTTTTTGTGTATACACGAACATTTTTTATAAAAGTCCTTCTAAGATCTGAGAACAGAGCCATAAGAAGACAAAAACATTAAGAATATTTCCTATCACACTAAATCTTAAGAAACTGCAATTTCTGTTTCATATTATCTTATGTTACGTTTTTTGTGTTTCCACTTTAAGAGGCTATTAAGAAACTTTGGTACTAAATTCAGCAAAAAGGACTGAGAAACTGAGTGCTTATTCTGAGTTGATTTTATAATAGAAAATTCGTGTGTTTATTTCACCAGGCTATACGTGTCATTATTTCACTAGGATAAACATGAGTAAAGTGTTGTTTCATGTTTCAGAATTCTCCTCGTGGACTGAATGGTCAGCTTGCAGTGTCACGTGCGGCAATGGTTCACTGTCACGGACTCGCAGTTGCCTCCACTGGAAATGCGATGGCAAAGTAATCGAAATTAAGGCTTGCAACAAAGATACTTGCCCAGGTATGACATTTGTAAGGGATCTCTGAAGAATTCATACTGCGATAGTTCGGAGCGTGTGTCAAAATGGAGTTTTAGAGGGCGTTCCAAAATTTTGGAACATCTTTTGGCTCGGAATAATTCTGGACTGGTTTTCTTTATGAGAAGACTATTCTATGTGTCTTGGCTATGGAGATGGCAAAGTACATATAGCAAAACCTATTTGTTTTAAACGAAAATGTTTGCTTAAAATGCACTTACACATCAAGTATTATAACCGTTAGATGAATACAGCTTGTTAAAATATATATACAATCAAAAGCTTTTAGGCACTTTCAATACTTTTATATAATCCCACATACCTTTCCGAGGCTTTTCAGTGCATATTGCGAGCACAAGCTAAGGACCATCCATTGTACACAGAAATCCTTGACATGTATAAGCTAAAAAAATTTTTTCCCGCCGAAACTGCAAAATTGTCAATCGAACATCTAACGCTGATCAGAGTTCCTTGGGAATAAATGGAGATCTGAAAACTTTGGTCACATGAGTTGTTGCTCAAAAATAACCTGTTTCTCGCACAAACGCTTGTACAATTCTAACCAGCTGCTGTATAGGCTCGTTGTTGTCTACGAAGTTTAGTAACAGTTGGGATTCTTAGCTTTGTAAACTAAATAAACATGTTCATGAACTAATAGCTAGATTATGGCTCACAGGCTACATGGACTGGACATCTTGGTCAGCCTGTGACGTGGTCTGTGGTCGCGGGCTTGAGAGAAGAAAAAGAAAATGCTCCGGGGTCCGCTGTTCTGGAATCTCAAATCAAGAGCGATCGTGCTTCAAAGATCCATGCAAATCAGGTGCGTCCATTCGTTAACAATATCAGCCTATCTTAATGAGATATTTTATTCAATTTTTTAAAAGCTAGTATCTCGCTCCCGACGGGGTTACTCGACGACGAACTGTACGTTCATAAATATTTGGTGCAGACGTAAAATATTAGTTCAACTTTACAATATCTGACTCGCATTTCAATCAAGCAAAAAATGCCAAACAAATGAAATACAAGTTGATTATTTGTTGTACATTCAGTACTTTTAAAGAATACATTAGAACGAAACTCAACAGCCAAGATGAATAGCATTCCAATTATGGGCAAGATACACTTTCAACAGCTCTGATTTAACAGCCGTCCTTCAACCCCCAAAAAGCACGGTAACACGACAATATCATGTGTTGTGCCCTCTTTGTAGAAGTCTCAACCCCTGATGCATGGACTGGGAAAGGTCCTTTTTTAACATAGTTACTAGTGAGGCATTTACCCCTCCACGCCCAGTTACTTTCCATTGTTTAGAACAATAGGCTATTGTCCTCCTCTTTATATAAACAAAGGCTTGCCCCGGTAGCTAAATCTTCTTTGAGAAGACTATGTATTGGCATTGCGATTTGTTTGCTAATTACAGCTATCGCATCATCGGTGCCCTCTTCAGCACGGCTACTGGCATCCATTGGTGCACCATGGAGTAGCTGGTCTCAGTGCTCTTCAAATTGTGGTTTTGGGGTGCAAACGAGGAAAAGAAACTGCAAAAGAGGCAACTGCGACTTGAATAAAGATCTGGTTCAAACAAAGATATGTCTTCGCCAGTCATGTTCAGGTAAAACGTCTCAAATCAAAAACAAAGTTTCTTTAAGTTTGTCTGGGTGTGGTGATTAAAATTCTTCCTTTTTCAGTGAGCTTCTAAAATAACTTAAATAAATTAAAATCAGTTGAAATTACTAGATACCTACCAAATGGAAACAGTACTGTAGAGCCAGTCGCATGACTACTAGCGTTAAAGATATAGATACTGGGATGCCATGTAGATCGTGCTTAGGACCGGTTCTTTTCCTTCTTTACATAAATGACGACTCAAATAATCTGTTCTATAGAAAACAAAGGCGACTTTGCGTGCTAACGACAAAATTTTAGCACTCTTTTGACGAATATGAGGAATTTTATTTGTCGCACATTCGTACATCGAAAGCTGACTATAGGTTAACAAACTTTCCCGTGATTTCAAAATTCAGGTTATAACATGGCCCCTGGGTACAGAATCTCAAAATTTAAAACATCGAATAATATCTTGTTGTCGCTACCCCCTTTAAGCAGTTGGCGCATTGTAAGACGCGTTATTCATAAAACATTTGCCATGCTTTGCGAAATAATCATTCCAAAAAATTTATTTGTGATCTTTAATTTTTCTTGTACTAGGCGAAATAAAGATGTCAGACAGTGTGCAAAAGACGTGCATGTACATTCACAATAGCTACAGAATATCTCACGGCGCAAATGAACTGAAATGGTCAGATATTATGGCGGACGCTGCAGAAAAAATCGCGAAAGAATTAGCAACGAAATCTGCAACTGTAGCAGATGCGAGGTCACTGGAGGACCCTGGTATAAGCATTATGGTGATGCCATCTGGGGATTCTTCGGACGTTGGTTTAGGGGCTGCCTGCTACACCGCCGCGAAATCCTGGTATGCTGAACAGAAAAACTATGACTTCCAGAACCCTCATTTGACAAATGATAACAAACATTTCACGCAGATGATATGGAAAGCTTCCCGCGAGGCAGGATTCGGAGTAGCGATGTCAAAAAGTACAAACAGATTCTACTTTGTGGCCAAATATGACCCCCCTGGAAACCAAGACAGTTACGTGGGATTTCGGAAAAATGCTTTGCCATTACAAGCTGACAACAGACTGGATGAAGCTACAATTGTGAAACGATTGAAATGAACCCAATGCTATACACTGAGGAATAGAATGGGGGTATGGTGGTTACGTTTAGGGGCGGATTAGATTGTCTATTAAGCAGAATAAGCTATTTATTGTAGAAGACCCAGCTTGTGAGCTATTCCAGAGCAAAATGAAAAGGAAACAAGACAAGGCTTAAGGCCAGATGACAACATGAGCTGTGGAACTCTCCCAAACGTCTATCGTCTCGGGTTCCCCAAAAATGTCAATGTATGAAAATTAACACACTTTCTATGAGGTATGAAAGGACAGCTTTTCATGGTTTAATACCTCAGCTACACATACCTGGACTTTCTTAAATGAAAGATGATCAATTCGTTTAGAAATAAAAAGAAACAAAAGATAACATTTAAATCGAATACAAATCTTCTAATTACGTACTTTAAATAGCAATGTAATTTTTTAGGTATAATAAACAGTGTATAATAGAAGCGGATTATATCGGCTACGATTAAAAACTAAAATATATGCAAACAGAGAAGAAATCTTTTACTTCCCCAAAATATCATAATCTATCCACAACTATATAATATACAAGGTATGAGATATAATCTACAGGATTAATACATATGATCAGTGTATTATCACCATTTCAAATATTTCAAAAGAAACGTCTGACGATATGTTGTCTGTATTGCATCCTAAAGCATCATGTTGCTACCAGTCTGCTCAAGTAGGTGATTATATAGGTACACCCGGCCACAATTTTATGGATGAAAGAACTGATACTTCCAATAACATATTTTTACACTTTTCCATGACACAGGCTAGCTTGATAAAGATATCTAATTCGGTTACCAGAGTCAATGAAAGTTTCCATATTTGCTCGGGGCAAAAGCCTTGAAAAACACTTTTCAGCAAAAAATAAAAACTAGGCAATGATTTGGTGTCGCGGATCGGTATTCTTATTAGCATTCTTCGCGGTTGTTTTTGTGACAGTCATCTTACCTTGGCTTTAGTTGTCCTATTCTTAAGTAGCATCCAATCATAATTATTCTTTACTTGTCTCAAGTGATCGGTCTCAAGTGATTTTATGAAGTTTTGTAATACCCTAAGGGGCGATTCACCTTCCCTTGTTTGTTGGAGCATTACGCTGCCAAATAGCTATACCTACCCACATATTTCAAATTAAATTACGGCCTACATCTAAAATTTAAGCAAATTATAATACATGAATACATAAGAAAATTGAAGAAGGTCGAGTTAGGCTTGAAGCTTCGAAACGGTCATCGTGTCATCTCATTGATGCCTCAAAACGTAAAACGGTATCATTTCCTGCCAAATATTAATTATATTTGGAAGTTGTCCCTAAATCAAAGGGAATCCACCCTGAGTGTCTAACAACAAGAGGTATATTGCTTTCTGTATTGCAAAATGTTGTCTTCAAGCTATTAACTGCATCTCTGTATTGTCAATTGTTGTTTCCAGCTATTTAAACTTTATCTCCGTATTATCAATTTTTTGCAATTAGGCCAGTTTTAATGTCTGTCGAACAAGGTAACAGTAACCTTAGAATTGCGACAAATAAATGAATCAATTGTAGAAAATACTAATTAGATTTCTGTCAGACCTTCAATTGCCGTACAGAGAAGAATGATGAATGAGGTCTGCTCTGCAAAATTCACCCGTATCGAGATTCTTGGCCATTAGTTGATCTGGAGCGGCATTTGGGACCTTGTGCTCAACAAATAACAACTTGGTACACACGTCCTGCAAAGGATTAAAGAGTGTCCATTGATAATCAAACAACGCAAGAAGCACAAAAATTTTAAATACAGACAAAAGATCCGGGAAAGCATTCTTTTAACAGCGTAAAAATCGCATATTCTACTTCAAGTTACTTTATATCTTTCTGGCAACGAAGAACCTTTTTTTAGCATTGACAAGCCCCTTTTAGCATTGACAAGGGAGATCAAATGATAGGTAACATGGCCTCTCAGAAAATAAAATACACAGCAAGAAGCACTTTTATTATCATTGCTTAGCTTAACATACTCACCAGAAAAATGCACAACTACACAAGGAACTGCTTACGACTACAGAAAAAATTTTCTTCCAAAGAAATCATGGGGGAGAAAAAGGAAACAAGAAATGACACGATGCACGCGGACGAAGATTAGATCATAAAAATGAAGTGACCATTTACCAACTTTACCCTGTCTATATATTTCATTAAAATAGTATTCAATGTAAAAAGATTGAAACAGAGAGGCTAGCTTAATTTACGAAATTTTATAAAGCCTTGATCTATAGTACTCCTTAGCAATTAAAACGTATAAATGGGCGTTTCTAGCACACTAGACATTAATCCCAAATCATGTTTGATAACAAAAACATACATATTATCGAAAGGCAGTTCTAACGCTATACCTCAAACATTACTGATAAATTGGAACACATCCTATGAATTTTCAGCATTTAAGGTATATTATTAACTTGTTCAACGACGCATGCGCTGGTATTCTGTTCGGGGTAATGGTCTTTTCTCATCCATACAGTCATCAACGGAAAAATAAGACCAATCAAATAATGGCAGTCGCCATCATTTTTCAATCATTGACTTTGTTCCTCAATGATATTCCTCAATGATTACAATCATTGACTTTTTACAGTATTAATTCCTGTGAACAGTCCACAAAGATCAAACTGACTTGGTACCTCCAAACATCCCCTTTATTTATGCTATCTTCTTCCAGTAATTAGGGGAATATTGATCTAGCAATGAACAACTCCAAAATCCGTAAGCTGTGGCAGACTTTACAACTATGTTTCACTTATTGCTCTATTATATTTCAGGATATAAGCAGGCACAACAGAGCTGGGGGCTGGGGGGGGGCTATAGCCCCCTAACTTTTTCGCTGAACTATGCTATTCAGGTAGTGGCATCAAAGATAATGGGGGAAAACTACTATAAAAATTTGCCAATTTGTCTAGAGCCCCCCACTCCAAAATGTGCTCTGGTGTTCCTGAAAAAGTGCATATTTCTAAAAGCGGGGTAATGAGGTGACCTAGAAAAGCAACTGTTTAAGCAGCATATAGAAACAGGCAAAATACAGGACAAACCTTCAGGTAAGTAACAGCTGGATGGGATATTCTAGAGCAGCCAGAAATGTAAAGAAACTGCAGAATGCTGGAGACACTTGAAGCCATTAAAAATATGCTTTTGTCAGTTAATTGATGCAGGCCAGATAAAACCAATGATTCCAGATGAGAACAGAAACGAACAAGCTCACATATGCCAGAATCTGTAACCTACAAAACATGAATACAAATAACATGACAAAATGATACAACATAAACATAAAAAATACTGTTAATTTGATTGCTGTTGGGCGCAATAAATCTGTGGTTCAAATTATTTTACCAGAACAAAGCCAGAGGTGTCCATGCTTTAGCGTGAAGAATGAGATGGCTCAAAGATGTGCTGATTTTCATGCTGAATGTGAAACTCTAAGTACCAAATTAAAATGTCTTTTCCAAAACAGGTTGACAGGACCATCTTTCTTCAAACTTGATGTAATCTTTTTGGACTCTTTATTTGGAATCTGTCTTTCAGCTGTTCATATTCAACAGAAATGTCCTGTAGCTCTATTGCATTTGTCTTCATTCAAAAATACAAGCAACATACATATAAATCACCCTATAGCCAAAACTAAGTCTGGAATGATGGATCCTCAGCTTAACTTTTATGGATTGAAAAAGAAAGATTAATATAATATAATATAATTAATATAATATAATATAATATAATATAATATATATATAAATAATATAAATATAATATAATATAAATAAATATATAATAATATTATATAATATAATATAATATAATATATAAATAATATAATATAATTATAATATAATAAATATAATATATATAAATATATAATATAATATTAAACTATAATATAATATAATATAATATAATATAATATAATAAATATAATATAATATAATATAATATAATATAATATGATATAATAAAATATAATATAATATAATATAATATAATATAAAATATAATTTGAAATAATATAAATTGCAAAAGAAACTATTTCCATACCCTTGTGCATCCCTTTATGTTCAATTTTTGAAGATGGGTACAGTTCTTAGCAAGGGAAAACATTTCATCATCTGAAAATAAATGCTGACCAGACACTCCAAGATATTTAAGGTTTGGAAGATGAGGTAGCAATCCACACAACAATGATGTGTCAAACTAGAGAAATTGAAGGGGACATATTTACAAATGAATGATTGAAGGTACAAAAGAAAAAGATAGCAATGTTCAAAATATAAGATATGCTTTCTTTTAGATTCTTCCAGGAGTAAAGTAAAGCATAATAAATAAAAAAAATGCTGATGGTTATCTGCTATCGACATGCTGAATTCCCAACAGGCAGAATCAATTCTTGGCAAAATAGTTGTGCCTCATAGGCTTAGTAAAACTGTCTGGTTGTCTAGGATTGAAAGATAAAAATAATACCTTCTTGCAGGCTTGTAAAGCAAGTTTATGCAGCCCAGTTGCTTGTTTCTTTTTCTCATTAGACATCAGTGCGGTCAATGGCTTACCAGTTATCAGATGACAGTACATCATTGCAAGCTTTGACAGCTTTGTACAGTGTTGAATGATAGTTTTTAGGGTAACATCAGTCAGTCCTTGACAAAAACTCAAATCTAGGTTCTCTATACCATAGCCAATCTTAGCTAGAATCTAAAGATGTGAAAAACATCTATAAGCTTTCTATCAATATCTATAGGGCATCAACAAAAAACATCAATTAGTGGTTTTAAGTTTAATCAATATCTTTCCTCTTGAATATAATAAGTTTGGGGACAATCTAGATTCAACAAAAATTGCAAAAATCTTTGTGCAAACAAGGGGAGAAAAGAGCTGAAAATTTCACCATAATTAAGGAGACAAGTGCATTTTATATGCTTAGAACTCTTCAAGGAACAAATGTGAACAAGTAAACACAATTAAAACAACTAAAAAAGTCTTTAATCAGCATAAAACGGCATAAAACCATGATTCTGCTGCATATGCACCAAAATTATATAGAGCTTTGAACACTGTTTTACCAAAATTAATAAATGGGGGGTCTTATTGAAGCCTGGGGGTTGGGATATTTTTTGAAAATTAATAAGCGCCCCCTTTCCATTAAGCACCTGAAAGTAGCAGAGTGAAATTTCAAAGAATACTTACATCACAAATAAGGTCATCATTGACCGATTGAATACCACACAGCTTCAGCGTATGAATGGAATTACACCGCAAAGACATTGAATGGAGAAACTCTGGACTGGCTTGAGTACCACGTAAAATCAACTTTGATAAACTTATTGGAAGACAATCAGATAGTATATCAGGTCCTTTTGATAGTTCATAACAATAAGACAAATCAGCAATCGATAGTGGGCAAGCTTTGAATACCTTGAAATAAAAAGTCTGATAAACTAAAGATAGAATGCAAAAAAGTATACTGAGATATTCATATTTCATTTCATTAATGTTGTCTATCATATCCTATTATTCTAAGTATTACAATTTACTAGACCCAGTCCCCACATACGGGACTTTTGTAGTTTGTTGTGAGTGATTAAAAGATGGCCTACATACTAGTTGTTCCTACAGGTCATAACATTGTCTTTCTTTATTACTGTCAAAGAGAGGATTTCTACGAAATTTTAAGAGATTTATTTGAACGTTAGTGTTAAGAGTTTTACCGTTGACATGTAAGAAAAGTTTGAGAAATCAGTAGCAAAGGCTACAATGGCAGAAAAGAGAATGAGAGATTTGATTTTTCATTGCTTTATTCTACAGTCAAATTAAGCTTTGTCACAAAACAGAAGCACAAAGCATTTCCTTAACAAATATTCCCTTTCTTACTTGAAGAATTTGTCAATCAAAACTGTATACCTCTGAACCACTTAATAATTTAAGTAAAACATTGAGAACAATCTAGGCAAAGGTGAAAAACTTGCAAAAATATTTCATACTTCCATGTAAACTAGTACATGCATTATTGAACCTTGACTAGATTTTAATATAAGTGCAGTTTAACATTACAGAGAAAATGCAAAAGATGCAAATCTCACCGCTCTTAAGCCCACAGATGTTATTCTGCTGCAGCCATGTAGCTTCAAACTGAATGAAAGATTCAAAGATAGAAAATACCATTGAAAAAATACTCAGAATAAACAAAAAGAAATAAATATTATCATTTAATGTGGAAAAATCATGCTCAATGGTCAGAGAAGCTAACTGACATCACATCTGTCACTGTTTGGAGTTTGTTCTGCACTAAACTGATGAAAAGAGATAAATGATAAACAACCGATAAATGTACTTTTGGCAACATACATCAGTGTTTGAGAAACCATAATTATTTCATCTCAAGACTTTCCTTGCATTTACTCACAAAAATCCTAATCATAGGTTCTTTCACACACTAGCCCTTTGCAAAATCTTCTACTGCCACAAATCCCCCCAAAAAAACTCATTTAGAATAAAAGAATACCAGCTTAATGAAAGTGTATTTCAGTCCCTTAACATATAGCTAAATTATGTGTATACATTGTTAAATTTAAAGGACAGCATGTTGAAATACTCACCATTTTAGACTAAAACATCTGTCTGCAAGGGAAATCAATGTGACGTCAGTTATTCCAGTAATATAAGAACAGTTCAGATGCTCCTACAAATACAAAATCATCATTTCCCACCAGAGTAAATTCAAATTAAAGTATAACACAGAAAATAAAAAAGTAGCAAGTCAATTCTCAGTTGATGATGTAAATTTTCATACATTGTACATGAACTATTTGCCAGCAAAGGACAAAACTCTTTTAGGAGTTTATTCAAAGACTTGAACATGATTTTTGGGGGTTTAATCAAAGACTTGAACTTGATTTGTTGCTTCCCACATCAAACAAGAGTTTGCAGACTAGTTGGTAGATAGTCAAGACAACATATTTGAATTTCATTTGGGTAGGTTTTTGTTTTCAATATGCTTTATGCATAAGATTCCAGTTGACTCATTTCTCTTTCTTTTTAATCTATAGCTAGATGAAAATAAGCTACTTTGTAAAGTATGACTTGCTAGTTCTCTTGTGCTGTGGAATTCAACATGAATTTGCATAACTAAACATTACCAGTCTTCCAAGTAGAAATCCTGCAACATTGTCCAATCCAACATCGGTTAACTTTTGACAAGAGAACAAATTTAGGTAACGGATTTTGTTACAATTCTGCACAAGTGCTGAAATCTCTGTATCCCCAATGTTGTAATTTTGCTGGAGGTCTGCTGAGCACAGGTTTTGACATGATGCTGATGTGAAACAGCTGCCAGAAAGTTTTGGTAGGCCATTCAATACAACAGACTTCAGTTTCTTCAGATTTTGAAATACAGGTTTGAGTCCATCATCTGTATATAAAACAATGACTTTAAAGGACCCACAGAAGCCTCACTTCAGAAAATTCTAAATTTTCTTTCCCTAATGCAGGCAAGAAGCAGCAGATACTTTTTAAAGGAAGATGTTCTCTACATGTTGTAGAATTTTGTTGTAGAATTGAATGTTGTAGAATTTGCCAGCTTAAACAGACTTTGTATATCATTAATGGTTTATAGAGATACAGTTGAATTCTGACTGATTTTTTCCAAATGTGAATAGACAAAGGCAAGACAACAGGAAGACTAAAGACATTTTTGCCCCTGTGCCAATTAGAGTGGAATTTCTCATTTAATTTGATGATATTGCCCAATATTTGCCCCCTGTATCCTTGTTTACAAAAATCTTGTGCAGCTCCTTCAACATATAACTACTATTAACACCTGCCATTGTCAGTACCATGACAATTGAAACTAGTTGCTGATCAAGAAAGGGTAATAGATTAATCACAAAATTTCAAGCAATTATTGCATCCAAAAATATTATCTTCAAAAATTAATGCACTGGAAATTTATCACTAGCAATATTTTTTCAGAAATTTAAGGTCTGTTTGAATTTTATCAAAAGAATATACACCAAATAACCTTTTACCTCTTTCTCCAATACAGCCTTAGAATACATATAAAGAAATCATAGATAAATAAATGTGGTTTCAAAAAACTTGTTGTTACCAATTACATAGATCTTTGCAACTTACCTGTTACATCATAGCAATTTATAACCTTCAGTGACCTCAGTCCAAGGCAAGACTGTCCAAGCAGAGAGAGAAATTTATCATTAACTTGTTGGCAGTTCTGCAAAGTAATTTCACAGAGCGCATGAGAGAAGAGGTGTTTCTTGATTGTCGGAAAGAGATTGTCACTCAATTTTTGGTGAATCACCAGGCGTTGCAGGACATCTGCCTTCTGTTCTAACGTTAGGGCTGAGCAGATATCATCAAGCTCTCTAATAGCATTGCAAATGTAATCTAAGCATACATCTGACAAAGTCTTCACCATGATACACTGTAGTATACTTCTGTTATTCCTACCCTTTCATTTCCACAGTTACACTGAAATTCCCTACCCTAGAAGATGAGCCTCGTTCTGGTTTACAGAAATCTCACTGTGATGTTGTTGTTGTCCACTCACAAAGATAAATGATTGTTTTCAATTTTTGAAGCAGCGCCGCAGATAGGTATGGGACGAAAAAGGCACATGTCCCCTACATTTTAAAACTTCAGGTAAATGCCTTTTCGTAGCTTACCGAGCTGCCCTTTTTTGGCCAACTGCCTAACCAAAAGCGCCCTTGAAATGCTTAGGTGCTATATAAAAAGAGCAAAGGGAGTGGGAGGGGCTGATCTTTTGGGGCCATAATCTAAATTTTTTTCCTTGAAATCTGCTTTTAGAAACACCAAAACTACAAACTTACAACCAAGCCAACAGAAAGCTGAGGGTCGAGGCACATTGCCTCAGGACCTCGAAGTTCAAGGGGCCCCTTGAAGTTTCGATTTCAAGAAAGCAATTAGTAAGACAAAAAAAATATGCCTAAAAATTTTACAAACATTTTAAACGATTGGCCGAAAATTTCTGCAAGAAATATTCTGAAATGCATTTTTAGCTAATCTAAAGGGCATGGTCACAAAAAATTTTCAGCTCGCTTCGCTCGCAAGGGCTTTGTCTTCCCGTTTTGCAATAAAGACTCCGTAACCTCAAGGCGGCAATGCTTACAGCTAAGCCACAAAATGTTATCGTTACAGAGCCGATGCCAATGGGAGGGCGCGTCACCCCCCTATAAGGCTGTTTGTCGGAAAAATATGAATGCTTGCTAAATTATTTTAGGACTCTCCTCTCAACAAGTCACATAGCAAGGACTGGCTGATGTTAAACTTCTTAGCTTTTCATGTTTTGTTATTAGCAATTTTGCTTTTAATCGATTATTTTATGTTGCATTCTGAATTATATTGTCTTAACATTTCATTTCAGCAAGAAGGCAACAGCACCTTGAGGAAATATATCTGCATCTAAAATATAACAAATTGGATTGTACAGTAGGCCACTTGCAAATGGGAAATCACAAGTAGATACGCATGCGTAACATCAATTTACCATCGAAGTAGATTATCGTCGTTAATATTATGATCCCCGCCCCCTATATATCACTGCTGGTGTCGGCCCTGCATCTTAATCGTTCTAGCTAGGCTTCCAAAACAGCCTTTTTAACCTTTCTGGAACCTTTGTTAGGGTGCCCTTTAAACAGGCTTTTAACCTTATAGAATCTTTGTTCGGTTGCTCCTTGACACAGGTGCCCACTATTTTTATGGGTGTAGCCTCCTTTCCGAGAGTCCTTAGGCGTAGCAACGGGAAAGTTTCCTTGGGGTTATGCCACCAGACCTCAAACCTTCTCTCTTTGGGCAGGACCATCACCTACAGCCAGTTTTCGCCACTGGCTAAATGACGCTTCCCTATCTGCTTTGGCAGCAAACTTTGAAACCTGAAATTTCCCTCTGGGCTGTTCCTGCCCCTGCCGCATCATGAAGCTTCCGGCGCCTTTGGTCAAACAGGACTTTTTTTATTCATAGAAATTAATAATAATACAATTTTTCATTGACTATACTACCCTAATTACTGTACTACACTACGGGGACGATGCTATGAAGAGCGAAAGACAATAACCTAATCTCTGGGTCAATTGTGTTCCATTCAGAGAGACAATCGGGATAAAAGCTGTTCTTGAATCTTGTCGTTCTTACCCTTATCTGCCCAACTACATCTTCATTACGAAAAGAATACATAGCTTGTGGTAATTGTGGAATAGGGTATCTTGTGTAGTCAAAGGTAATATCGTTGATAGTCTTGTTAAAAATAAACCAGGCGTCTGCTCCAACGTCAGAGGCTTAGGGATTCCTCATCAAGTTCCTCGTAGAATTTTTCACGAGATGCCTTTCCATTTTCCAGTCACTGCTAGTGCCGCAGAATATTGAACTGATTCAAGTTTTTCCATATGATTATTCAGTCAGGTATCTTGACTGACATCGCATTTTTTAGGTGGGGTGTTGTAAATGACATCACCGTAATCTAAGTGTGGCCGCACATACAATTTATACAATTCAGTCAAAGTATTGCGGGGAAAATACCTTGAAAGAAATTTTATTATTCCTATTCCGCGTCTACATTTTATTATAATTGACTGAATGTGAATGGCAAAAGACAATTTAGAATCAATGTCTATGTCCATGATGCCAAGATGTTTATGTTCATTCATTTTGATGACTGGGATGTCATAGAAATTTCTTTATTGAAAAGTCACCTCAACTGCTTGTTTAGTTGGATCGGGATTAAAAATCATACGCCAATTATGTGCCCAGCTTTTGATAATATCAAGATCATGATTCATGTCTGAAGCAGTCTGATCAGGATTATGAACAATAGTGAAGAGTGAGGTATCATCAGCAAAGAGTTTGCCATTACATTTAAGATTATCCGTCAAGTCGTTAGCGTACTCAAGGAAGAAAAGTGGGCCTAAGATGGAGCCTTGAGGGACGGCGGCGTTGACTGAACTCCATTACGATGTTTTACCATTCAAAAATGTACGCTGTTTTTGAATTGCAAGGAAGTCTTTGATGAGTGAAAGTAAGTTTCCAGAAACATCACAACGACGAAGTTTATGAATAAGACCTTCATGCCAAACCCTATCAAATGCTTTGTCAAGATAGACGGACCGAACATCTAGGGGTGGATTGCAATCAAAGGCAGAAAATTTTGTCGGAAAATATTGTGTGAACAATAGACAGTAGTTGATTTATCGTAGAGTCATTTGGACGAAAACCCAATTGATTTGGGTTTAGTAACTCATTAGCAGTTAGGTGCTCGTAAAGGATATCATAGATCATCTTCTCAAACATTTTCCCGAAGATTGGAAAAAGGGATATCAGGCGATAATTTTGTTTTAAATTTTTACTGTTTTCTTATGGACAGGGACGATATTGGCCATTTTCCAGATTTTTTGGGAAAATACAATTTTTGATACAACTTTCAAATATCATTTTAAGTGGAGCCACGAAAACATCATCACTAATCTTTACCATACGTTTACTGAGATTTCATCCGAACCATGTGCTTTGTTAGGGTTTGAAGAACGAAAGATTTCTAATATTTTCATCTCGGAGATAAAGATATTCACCAATGCATGGGGCATTACTTGTAGTAATGTTGGGAATTTCACTGTCTTTATCGATAGTAGTACACTGAAGAATGAAATAATCATCAAAGATTTGTGCCTTTGTTTCAAAATCTAGGACAAAAATGTCATTCTCCAAAAGGGGTAGTATTACCGGAATCTTAGCTTCATTCAAAACTTTATTTATTAGTGACCAATTGGTTTTTTGACCAGTATCAGTATTCGAAAGGGTTTGACCAATTTTCATAAAATAGTTGTGCTTTGCATTCTCTATTAAGAAACTATGCGTTGGGTTCCTTCAAGTCTCTCGTGTGGCTGACCATTTCTAATAAAAGAATTGTATGCTTGATTCTTTTTACGAATAACATTTTTGATATCCTTTGTTATCCAAGGGCCTGCCGAGGCCGTACTGTCATGAACTTGTTGCCGTGAATAAAGTTGCTAAAAATATTCAGTAAGACTTCATTTAAAAGACTGACTTGCTGATTAGGACATCTGACTTTATCCAGAGTTTCACGCCAACGAAACATTTCGATACTTCTTCTAACTGCAGTTACATTAGCACGATCTTAAAATCAAATCCTACGAGTATAGGGGGGAGGGCCTAGATTATTTATAGCTTATTTGCCATGGAATATTTGATGGTAACATTGTTCACGAAGGGTAGGGTGAACACCGGTCTCAAGAAATAAATTTGGTTGGTCTGTCAAAATAAAGTCCGTACAAGAAATTGATTGGCCCATAAAATGAGTTGGTTCAGAAATCATTTGATGAAGACCAAGATCCTATGTAAGCGGTTCAAAAATTTTGCCTTCTTCATTTTCAGTGTCGTTTTCCCACCACTGAGGTGAGCGACATTTAAAATCTACTGTTACACCTGTCGCTCACTATCAGTAATTACTTTATACCTTATCAGCATGTGCGGGAAAAGAATTTGTATCTGATTTTCCTCAGACTCGAAATAGCGGTATTTGTCATCGATTTTGAGACATGTACGGCAGTTGGCCGGCAATTTTTTAGTGGCAAGGATTCGCTGGTTTCAGAAGAACATGCTGCTCGATGGATGGTTAAAGGCATTTTATGGAGGCACTACCCACAACGACCCTGATAAAATATCAGAAACATTGCCAAACGTAAAGTATAGGTTCCATAAAGTATAAGTTAGTCAAAGAGAAAAACAACACGAAAGAAAGCATGGTCTCACAAATGATATTCCATTGCAAACCCCGTTTCTCCCCAGCACAACTAACAAACAGTAACAAAATAACCATATTCGAGAAATAATTAATTTATAAAAATACTCCCCTCTAATAAAAAAGGTAATTATTTTGAGCTAAGCGTTGCAAAAATACCAAAAACGGTAGACAAGAGAGACGCACCTTACTCAAAAGATTAACCATTTATTAAAACTACAGATTAAGAAATGGTGAACATTCCTGTTTCCTATATTTTCGCATTACGTAATTGGAAAAATTGCTAAACATTTTTGCTACGAGGATTAGTCTGCGTACACACTGAGAGCGAAATAGCGTAGCGAAGCTAATGGGCGAATTAGCGTTAAAATAGTTTGACTGAAAACAATACGCCTGTTCACATCAAGACAGAGCGATAGGGACACGGAGCGACAAGATTACTTCTCATGTATTTGATCGCTGCGCCCGGAAAGGAATAACAGCAATGGACGTTGATTATACCGTTGCAATACAACCAATTAGCAACTGGGGATAGTCTGGCGATGCTGGTCTTCATCCAGACCAGTATGAAAGTTCATGCCTTCATATTTGGGGAAGAAGGTAGCCCCCAGTAATTGCCAACTGTACTTTATATGGAAAGCAAAATTATGGACATCCCCCCACCAATATAAATTTATTTCCGATTACAATAACAAACCAAACGTAGATGACTATGTTCTGAATCTGAAATAGCCTCGTCATTCCTTAACTGCGGCACCAAATTATGATATTCACCAGATAAAAGCAAATATTCATGAAAATCAGGTCTTGCCTCTTTTTGTTTCGTGAACCAAAAATCGTCTTCCTTTTGAAAATAATGAATATTTAAGAAATCAACTTTCAGATGAGGTCATTATTTTTGTTTTAAATTAGCCACTGCGTCATCAAACTTCACCCTGCAAAACTGTTTGATTCGCGATTTTTCGCTCACAGCATGTTATTCCGTTCGCTTCTGTTCGCTTCTCTTTTTCGCTGCAGTGTGAACGCAGCCTTAGGCCCTTTTTGTGGTGAATATTAAAATTGATACAGCTGTTTGATACTGTATTCAATAATGTCATCTCCTTATTTTTCTATACAAAACTTGCAATATGAATGATGAATTTCGATATTTCTGACAAATGTTTGAGAAAATTTATTCATATGGAAGATTCACGTCAACGTCATACTTAAAAATAGATCAGGAAAGTGTCATACATGGAAAATGGCCGATCTTCTAGGAACTCATCAAACTTTAACGAGTGCAGTTATGTTGCTTTGCTAAAATAATTAGCTCGCATGTTAACCTTTTCTGCTACACAATTGTTATTAATTTAAATAAAAAGTGTCATTTAATACCTAAGCTTGGTTGCATCGCAGTGCAATATTTGTTAAATGAATGTCTTGCAAAAATATCGGACAATATTATGTCAAGTTTTCCAGGGCTATAGACGTTGTCCAGGTTTTTTGAGATTATCTGTAGAACTCCTATATCAACAGGATGTATTCCACGTATCGCTATACTGACAATGTTCGGTGTAATACTGCTCAGTGGGCGTGTTAGCGAGAAAAAATTGACGTATCTGCCATTTATAACTTTTGGTTCTTGTCTTCCATCTGATACAAAAAATATCAGTTTTGGAACATTTGGCCGCGCACCATTTCTTACCAAAAAGGCTTCTTTGACAGCAATTTTGAGAGCCAAATCGATTCTTGTTTTTCCGCTAGCGATGCCTATGTTGTCTATAGCAGTATTGAATGCATCATTTTCATAATAGTCTGAAAATCGTATCGCTAAATTAGTATACCTTGACCCGCCGATTGTGATGACACTAGCACGGGTTCCACCATATTCGAGTTGGAATAGGCCCAGGATTTTCTTAACAAACTTTCTGGCAAGCTTAAATGCGTACTCCAGTGTGCCAGAATTATCCAAGAGAAACAAAATGTCGACTTTCTTCACTGGACAATCAGCAGCTGTAAAATATAAGGACAGTATGTAGAACTGTGCAGAGTAACACGATAATCCTTTACGCATATATCCACATCTCTTGTTAGATATCCGTGAGTTAAAACGTCCATCAAAAGTTTACAGATTCAGTGATATAAATTCATAAGGTTGGAGGGTTAATTCTTCTACCATTCCTTTTTTGGGTAAGATTTTTGCTGAAGAATACCATGCAAATGAGAAGCCCTTTAATAATGGAACAAGAATTATAAGAATGAAAGAAAACTTGATGATGTAGCCATGCATCCTCTAAAAATCTGAATAGAATTGAATAGAATCGAAAATAGAATTGAAAGCTTCATTACCTATTAGCGCTGTTTGGCCGATATCTGCAAAAATTGATAAGAAAATGATTATATAAAAAAGACAAAATGTTTCAATGGTAAAATGTTCAACTGCAAAAGTTATTTCTAGCTTCTGACGCACAATAATTTAAGCGAAACGGTTCTTTACCCTTTCTCTTTGATTTTATCTCTTAAGCTATAAAAACAAAACAATTTTGGAGATGGCAACAATTATATTCTTATTCATTACAATACAGATTGGTTTCATAGCATCAGACGTTTGCATTCGCCAATTTCTACCCTTAAAATCAAGATGAAAATAAGAAAAATAAACTTATTACAAAGTTTATGCATATTTAGGAACATTTGGATTGCTTCAGAATATTGACAGAAATGAAATATGAAAAAAGTCCGATTGAGCATATGTTATCTGCCATTATAAAAAATATGGTGAAGAAGGAAACGGCGCCTTAAGTTATATTTTGTACCTGGTGGTCCGACAAGCAGTAGTAATCGACTTCTGAAAGTTGTTCCCTGATGAGTAAACGAGGATAACCCATTAACTGACGCAGGTTTACGTGTTTTGGTGTAGTAAGCTGTAAATTTAATGGTAGTGACTTTCTTTCCAAGCCTCTTCATGAGAATCTCTCTGCGTTTTTGGGAAAACGCTGAAAGTGGAAGTGAATGTTTTTTATCGTTGTACTCGTATTCAAGAGTGTACTCTTCCTTGTCAATGCTTGCTGCTTGAATGACAACATAGCGATTTTCTGTATCCCGTTCTGCAAAGAATAAGATAGCAGTCATTAATATTGCAAAGCAAGGCAAAACAGCTGTTTTAGCCACAAGATTGACAGAACATAAAAACGCAATTGTACAAGGAGTTAGAGACATTACAACGAATCGGGTGTAACTCATCAGCCGTTAAAACTTAAGCTAATAAAGAATGTTCGAACTTCGTAAGGATTTCTTACCCACGTACGAAGTTTGTTTTTCTCTTTAATATACAACATACGACGTACAATAATTTGTAATTTAGCTACAACATGATCACCTCCCTGGTCAAAAAACACCAACATATAAATGGGAGAAAAATGGGAGAAAGTCACTGAATTCATTGGAAAAAGAATTTATAATTTTAAAATGTTTTCACGACTTATATCTTCCCTCGAAATTTTTCAAGCTAAGCAATCTATCAGCCTATAAAATTACAGCAAAGAATGATATGGCGAAGACAAAAAAATGATAGGACGAGGACAAAGAATGATACGATGAGGACAAAGAATGATATGACGAGGACAAAGAATGAAATGACGAGGACAAAAAATGATATGACGAGGAAAAAGAATGATACGATGAGGACAAAGAATGATACGACGAGGACAAAGATTGATATGACGAGGACAAAGAATGATATGACGAGGACAAAGAATGATATGACGAGGACAAAGAATGATATGACAAGGACAAAGAATGATATGACGAGGACAAAGAATGTTACGACGAAGACAAAGAATGATATGACGAGGACAAAGAATGATAGGACGAGGACAAAGAATGATAGGAAGAGGACAAAGAATGATAGGACGAGGACAAAGAACGATACGACGAGGGCAAAGAATGATAGGACGAGGACAAAGAATGATAGGACGAGGACAAAGAATGATAGGACGAGGACAAAGAACGATACGACGAGGACAAAGAATGATACGACGAGGACAAAGAATGATAGGACAAGGACAAAGAATGATAGGACGAGGACAAAGAATGATAGGACGGGGACAAAGAATGATATGACGAGGACAGAGAATGATAGGACGAGGACAAAGAATGATAGGAAGAGGACAGAGAATGATAGGAAGAGGACAGAGAATGATAGGACCAGGACAAAGATTGATATGACGAGGACAAAGAATGATAGGACGAGGACAAAGAATGATAGGACGAGGACAAAGAATGATAGGACGAGGACAAAGAATGATAGGAAGAGGACAGAGAATGATAGGAAGAGGACAGAGAATGATAGGAAGAGGACAGAGAATGACATGACCAGGACAAAGATTGATAGGACGAGGACAAAAAATGATATGACGAGGACAGAGAATGATAGGAAGAGGACAGAGAATGATAGGACCAGGACAAAGATTGATATGACGAGGACAAAGAATGAAATGACGAGGACAAAAAATGATAGGAAGAGGACAGAGAATTATATGACCAGGACAAAGATTGATATGACGAGGACAAAAAATGATAGGACCAGGACAAAGATTGATATGACGAGGACAAAAAATGATATGACGAGGACAGAGAATGATAGGAAGAGGACAGAGAATGATAGGACCAGGACAAAGATTGATATGACGAGGACAAAGAATGAAATGACGAGGACAAAAAATGATAGGAAGAGGACAGAGAATTATATGACCAGGACAAAGATTGATATGACGAGGACAAAAAATGATAGGACCAGGACAAAGATTGATATGACGAGGACAAAAAATGATATGACGAGGACAGAGAATGATAGGAAGAGGACAGAGAATGATAGGACCAGGACAAAGATTGATATGACGAGGACAAAGAATGAAATGACGAGGACAAAAAATGATAGGAAGAGGACAGAGAATTATATGACCAGGACAAAGATTGATATGACGAGGACAAAAAATGATAGGACCAGGACAAAGATTGATATGACGAGGACAAAAAATGATATGACGAGGACAGAGAATGATAGGAAGAGGACAGAGAATGATAGGACCAGGACAAAGATTGATATGACGAGGACAAAGAATGAAATGACGAGGACAAAAAATGATAGGAAGAGGACAGAGAATTATATGACCAGGACAAAGATTGATATGACGAGGACAAAAAATGATAGGACCAGGACAAAGATTGATATGACGAGGACAAAAAATGATATGACGAGGACAGAGAATGATAGGAAGAGGACAGAGAATGATAGGACCAGGACAAAGATTGATATGACGAGGACAAAAAATGATAGGACCAGGACAAAGATTGATATGACGAGGACAAAAAATGATACGACGAAGAAAGCATTTTTGATAAAAAATGAGAAAAATGAGAAAAATAGTAATGTGTCGAGCAAAATTTATATAGACGTACAATAATTTTCGAGAAATAACCAAAGAAAAGGTACAATCATATTTAGAGAAATAAACCTTACAGCAAATAGGTAGAGTAAAAGATGGGCTCCCCAACGATTTTAATGAGTTTAAAAATTTGTTGATAGAGACCTGTTTTAGACAATCACTGATGGTATGAATAATTATCAGACAATTTCTTTCCGTGATACTTGAGATACTTGAAAACTCATGCACATTTTTGTATTGGTATTTGCACATTTTTGGAACCAGAAAACTCTAAATGATTTTTTAAGCCTAAATTAAAGATAAGTTTACTTTAAATTCACCCCAAATTTTTTTTTATAATTCTGATGAAAAATGCCAGAACATGAAATATTAAAAAGAGCCTATGGTTGGCTAAAAATTCAAAGCAACCATACAATCAATTTGTAAATTCTACAAGATTAACATTGTGAAAATCTGACATTTAAAAAAGAACGATTTCTAATGAGAAATGCATTCTTGTGGGATTTTACCTACCAGGGTAATTAATTGTCATACGAACGATGTGCCGATGATGCTCCGGCGTAACAGGCATCGAGACTTGATTATTAAGTAGCAGCATCAGGCCGGTTTCCCTTGAAACTGCTTTAAAGTCGATGGGGGCTTTAGAGTGGTTAAACATCTTGAATGAAATAGTACATCGAGACAAAGCAGCACAGTAGTACTTCTTGGGGACGAAATCCTGCTTCCAATAGATCGTTGCCACATCTCTTATGCGGTTTCGGACATCAACAGTAACATATAATACATTTGGATCGTAAGCTAAAACATAGACACGGGAATATCCATTACAACTAGCTAAATCAGATGTATGGAAATCGTAGCGATCAAGGGCCGAGACTTTTTGGGATGTCGGGGGGGGGGGGGGGGTAGAACATAGAGGTTCTCATATTAACCCTTTGAAAATCAGTGTATCTTTGAAAAATTTGTAAGGAGAGGGGTGCTAAAGCCCCCTAGCCTCCCCCGCTATCTCGGCCCATGGTGACGATCAATACTAAATTTCATAATAAAGCAGGAAGTTGTGATTAGCATAATACAAATTTTCTTCTTTTTTCTTTAAAATATAGTCATGAATATTCATAAGTGTATATGATAATGCTATGAAAAGGAGCAGTAATATAGCTCATTTGCCATGGTCAATCCTTTCACTGGCTTATAAGTAAAAAGGAGAACGAATAACTTAAACATCAGAAATGAAGTAAGAAAACGAAGACCTTCAGAAAATCAAGACCTTTCTGTGACTGTGAAATAGTCGTGCTTTTTTGCATTTTCCCTCGTCTTTCATTTTTACAATTCATGGAAACCGCTTCGCTTGTAGATTTGTCAATGTCATATTTTTTGGAATGCTTTAAATATGGCACTTTAGATAATTCAATCATTTAATGCAAAATGCAAGAAAATCGACTAAGTACCTCGAAGGAACACCACTGCTCGTGGATCAAAATACAAGACGCATCTTTAATATATTTACTCAAACACTACTTTTTCCTAATTCAGAGACGTAGACTGGATAGGCCAAGCTCGAACTATGCTTACCGGAAAAATTCTGTCAGTCGGCCCAATTGTAACCTTCTTCATTTTGAACAAAAATGATATGGTTACGGGTTGAGTTTGACTAGGACCGTCCTTTACGTGACTGTTACTTTAAGTAACTAGATACTTGTTGCTACTGCCATAAATGTCGTTAAAATTTTATGTCTATTTGTTTGTACCTAGCATCCGAAAAATAGTTATTGGACACTGAGATGCTTATGCTTATCGAGCAGTGTCCTAGTCCTTCCTCTCGATGTGACCACACCTCGTGATTCCTATGCCTGGAATTATAGAGAGCCGGCGACTCTCCTCACTCTGGGTGAAAGTTTGGTCATGCCAGGGACTCTAACAACGAACCCTTGGGTCTGTAGTCAGCGGCTTTAACAACTGAGCCATCTTCGTTATAATGTTGTTGATGTCGTTGTTGCTGTTGTTATGGTTGGAATTAGTTAATTTGAAGAAGGTGGCAGGTCATTTTTCTTTGCAAATGCCATCAAATACCAGAAAAGGAGAAAGAATTATGTTTTAAAAATAAGACTCACCGTCTATCTTAACGAAATGGTAAAGTTTTCTTGCAGCAGGACTGAATGAAATCCTCAGTTTTTCATTTATAAGTAACGGCTTGTTGCTAATGACACTGTAAGCTGAGAAATACACCTGGGTCACAGAATCTTGCGCTGTAACAGGGATCATACGCTTCTCGGATTTACCGGGGCTTAGCCGAATGCTTTGATCCTTTCCAAGAGACTTCCATGTTATTATTGCATCATCGTTCTGGTTATTATAGCCCTCGATTCCAATGTAGTATTCTGCTTGAAAACGAGGCACAAAAAGTTGGAGAATAAGAGGCTTGTACACTATGTAAACAAGCTATTTAGCAAAGAGTTTTACAGGCAATTCTACCTAGATATGCTACATTTACATTTCATTCGAGCACTTGTGGTTGTGTACAAATCCCAACATTTTCTAACCGATTTTCAATTACGTATGGTATTCTGAATAATTTTCTAAAGACACTGAGAAGCCTGTCAATATAATGTCTGTTATAGGGTAGGGTTTTTTATGTGTAAAATCAATGAAATTTTTAAATGCACCACGATGTTATCGTCGACTTTTTTTCATAAAAGGTGTTGCGTCATGTAAACCCTCAGACTTAATTCCAATTCAAGCTGATAGGCAAAAACGTACCTCGGTTGAGTTCCACCGTAAACACTCTTTTTCCTGCCGTTGTGTGACTGTAGATGACACTTTTTCTTCCATTCACCAGAACTGTTAGATCTGCTAGATTTTTGTACGCCCAAAATATTACTGGTGTGTCAGGAATGGTGTACTGGAAAGTTTTTGTTAGTCTAGCACGGCTAGACACAACCATATCCATCTTTTTGCTGTTAAAATCCATTTTCAATAAGCAGTCGAAATTTAGATGATTTATTAAAACGACTTGAAGCTCGTAAACCTTATCTAGAAATAAAAATAACAAGAAGTTTGAAAACCTAGAAAAATTAAAAGGTTGCTTAACTCTATGATTCTTGTAGCTCGATAATAGACAAAGAAATGTTCCAAATATGATAAAAAGGTCAACAGGTCAGTAAATCGATTGATCGATATACTACCTTTAGTTATCACAATATCGTGATAATTCCTTGTTATCGTTGACTCGTAAGTAATCGCCCTTTCGTTATTCAGGAAAACAGTTGCAAAATTGTCAACCGCGTTGCCAATTGCCACAATTTCAGTCTTCTGCTTGAACTCTAGAAGCGACTTAGCTGCAGACTTAGCTCCTACTGGCACCATAATTATATTTCCATTATAACGGCAAAGCACTACGATATCTCGCTCCATCTTGTTTCTAACGTCCACACCAAAGTAATTATAGCTTGGTCCTAAAGAAGCAATGGAAACATTTAGATTATATAGCAGAAACAAGCTCCGTAACACCAAGCAACGTACTAAAGCTGTTTACAATTTGCAAAGCACAGTTTTTCAAAATGTGTTAATTGGGTTGAATTATTTTCCAACCTTGGATCCACATAAGGAATATTCTTGCCTTTTAAATTCTAGCTAGCGCTAAACAGAATGAGTAAATTTCATCGATGCTATTACTATGTTAAAAAATGGTCTGTTCAGTAAAAATAAAAGAATATTGATTGAAAAAACATCTTGATTTTTTGTAAAGATTTCTTGGTTTGTCTTGTTGAATTATTTCTATATGGGTATGTTTTGGGCTACGAAAAACAATTCATAATCAGTTTTATAAGGGTCAATTCGAGGATAGTACAGATTTGCTTAACGTTTTCCGTCTATTTCAGTTTGTGATTCACAAAGCTATTGTAACAGAAGATAAGATTAATACAAGTTTATTTTCAGAAAGAATGTGAAAATTATTTAATTGTCATTAGAAAATCCTGTAGAAAATCTTCCATGTCATGAAATACGAAAAAAGATTTTTACATTAACTTGATGATAGCGAAAGTCGTTAGAGGCAAAAAGTGGGATGAGCCCATCTGTTTATCATTTCAAAAACATTATCAGTGTAAATATCAAATGCATTAAACGAAATCCTTGCTTACCGACTGTAATCTCCACATCTTGCGAAACAACGTTTGGGTTGTGGACAATCCTCAAAACACTTTCTCCATTCAATAGCGCAACATTCTTTGCAGAAGCCGCGGAGACATTGCCAGTCAATTCGATCGCTCCTCCAAATTTATCAAAAAAGACAAGCTGATGGGCGGTAGCTGCCTGTCTAATAGGATATTCTTTGCGTCCTTCCAAATCTCGCCATCCAATAGTAGCCCTATCGGAGGCTCTATTGGTGAAAAATAGATCGATATGAGGTGACGTTGCCACAATATAGCTTTTTTTAGAACTGTCCTGGGATGGAGTTAATGATACAGACGCCAAATTATTGAGAAAAACAAGGCCAGGAAGATCAATAAATTTTGACAAAAACGTTATAGGAACTTTTGCTTGGTCTCCTTCTTTGTAAAACGGCCGTCGAAAAGCTTGCCTCCTTCCAATTTTTGCTGTTTTCGCAACGCCTCCCTCATTCCAAGATATTTCAATAGGGCCTGGAGCGTCATTTCTAAATGTAACATCAAGGAAACCGAGTTTTAGGCCAGAAGCCGCATCTCTAGCAATGATTCTGTTGACCGTTTTCTCATATGACGGGATAGCCTCGAAATACATAGCATCATTTACAGTCACAAAAGAACCAATGTCTTCCCTCTTCCCTTTGACCTGAAGACGATCATTCACTGGCAACAGTGAAACAACAGCAGTCTCCTGGCGCGTTTTACCAACAGCTACTTTGTAAGAGACTTCCTTCTCATCTTGCATCCATGAAAAGATCACTGGCCCATTTGCATTATTTACCAGCTCGACAACGAAGAACCTTTGCGCGTCTGTTGCATCTACTCTTTTTGAATGCCTACGTGCTTCGGGTGTGAATGAAACACTCTCAAGCTTATTCAGCTGCACAGGTGTTCCTATATCGCTTCTAGTTGCTTTAAAGACAACCTCCTTTGTGTCATCATTGCTACTGAAAGTAAGCTGCTCTATTCGAGACTCTCTGTATCCCATTTGAAATGAGGTTGCTTTCCCTTTAAACTGAAATCTTACAGAAATCGGACCATTTGCGTTGTTGACGAAATCAATTGTTATATACCTCTCTGGATCCCTAACAACAAGGCGCTCAATTACCTTCTCTTTTCGAGGTATATATACCCATTCCAACCTACCATTTAACGAAACAAGAGAATCAGCGTCTGTTCTTTTTCCAGTAAGCTTCAAAGCACCTGCTGAGCCGGCATTTTTTAACACGAATGTTAGCTGTGTAGATTTACCTTTGGTTACATCAACTGTCTTTTTAAAGGCACCTTCTTGCACGAGAACTGCCACTGGACCTGAAGCCTCATTGACGACGTCAATCATAATGTATTTGAAAACAGGATCTCTGTAGGCTTCATCTGATGCCAATGGAGCTGGAGCATCAAGTGACCATGCGTATATCAACCGTTCATCAGAAACAATGACTTCGTTAACGGTTTTCAGTTCTGTGGGTGTCAATTGAATTATGTCTTTATAGTTCAGTTTAACTGGAAAGTCCAATTCAGTTCTCTCGCCAGTGAAAAAAACTGGTTTATCTGAATCAGGCCCTTGAAAAATATAAGCAAGTTTTTTCTGATCACCAATTCCAATGTTAACGGTCTTATCTTGTCCAGCATGAGATAATAAGAGACGGAATGGTCCATTAACCTTAGTGAATAGCTCAACAATCAAATATTTTAGGGTTTCAGATCCTTGCAACGGCTTAGAAAACCATGGCAAAATTATATAACGGTCAGTGGCAATGACAGTGACGTTGTTACCTTCTTTCTTTGGAGTCAACACGAGTTTTTCTTGACGATTAACATCTACATAAAAGTCAAAATCGGCTCTTTTTGCAGCAATTTCGATAGAGTTTTGCGATTCAGACCCGTCAAATACTAAACTTCTTTGTTCGACTCCATTTCGATTCAGTTTGACCGCCACAGGTGTGCCCTCAAAAGCCCATAAAAACATAACTGGACCAGAGGCATTGTTTACTATTTTCAAGTTCAAAGTCTTGGGAATGTTAGTGATAATAACTTCCTTTAAAGACTTTGAGAAAGCCGGACTCAGGGTGACGGACGAAATACCATTCAGATATACCGGTTCTTCCGATCGCATACTGATACCAGTAAACTGCACAGGAGAGCTGGCAACAAAACTATCAAAAACGATTTCTAAATGAGAAGAGCTCTTTCCAGGAACAATCAACCTCTTAGCCACACCATTTTCAGCCCAAAGGATCCCAACTTCATCATCTGCATTGTTGGCAAAATCGGCAACTATAAAAAGCGGGAGATTTGTCACTTCTACCAAAACTTTATTTCCTAACCGCTCATAAGGAAGAATAATGTCACTTGAACCGTTTAAAAAAACTACATCACCAAAAGCGAAAGGCTTAACAAAAAACTTCAATGTTTTCTGCGCTATCCCATCGATAGAAACAGCTTCAACTAAAGACTGCTGTCCAGAATCTAACTTCAACTGCTTTTCGACACTGTTCTCAAGCCAGTTGACAACAATTGGCACAGCGGCATTGTTAACGAAATCAGCAACAACGTACATCGGATAGTTGCTTGCCACTACAGACGCAGCTTTCTTGTCCCTCGTTACTGCCAATGATACATCGCTAGCACCATTCAACAAAACAACTTCATCATTGTCTTTTCTCTTTGCTGTGAATTTCACAGTTTTCTTCAAATCACTATCTTCAAAAGCAAGTTCTTGTCGTACAGTTTCTCCAACAGCTATATCCTTCGACTTTGTGACACCATTCTCAAGCCAATTGACAACAATTGGCACAGCAGCATTGTTAACGAAATCAGCAACAACATACATCCTATATTTGCCTGCCACTACAAACGCAGCTATCTTGTCCCTCGTTACTGCCAATGATACATCGCTAGCACCATTCAACAAAACAACTTCATCATTGTCTTTTCTCTTTGCTGTGAATTTTACCGATTTCTTCAAATCACCATCACCAAAAGCAAGTTCTTGTCGTACAGTTTCTCCAACAGCTACCTCTTTCGACTTCTTCACACCATTCTCAAGCCAGTTGACAACAATTGGTACAGCGGCATTGTTAACGAAATCAGCAACAACATACATCGGATAGTTGCTTGCCACTACAGACGCAGCTATCTTGTCCCTCGTTACTGCCAATGATACATCGCTAGCACCATTCAACAAAACAACTTCATCATTGTCTTTTCTCTTTGCTGTGAATTTCACCGATTTCTTCAAATCACCATCTCCAAAAGCAAGTTCTTGTCGTACAGTTTCTCCAACAGCTACCTCTTTCGACTTTGCGACACCATTCTCAAGCCAGTTGACAACAATTGGTACAGCGGCATTGTTAACGAAATCAGCAACAACATACATCGGATAGTTGCTTGCCACTACAGACGCAGCTATCTTGTCCCTCGTTACTGCCAATGATACATCGCTAGAACCATTCAACAAAACAACTTCATCATTGTCTTTTCTCTTTGCTGTGAATTTCACCGTCTTCTTCAAATCACCATCACCAAAAGCAAGTTCTTGTCGTACAGTTTCTCCAACAGCTACCTCTTTCGACTTTGTGACACCATTCTCAAGCCAGTTGACAACAATTGGCACAGCGGCATTGTTAACGAAATCAGCAACAACATACATCGGATAGTTGCTTGCCACTACAGACGCAGCTATCTTGTCCCTCGTTACTGCCAATGATACATCGCTAGCACCATTCAACAAAACAACTTCATCATTGTCTTTTCTCTTTGCTGTGAATTTCACCGATTTCCTCAAATCACCATCTCCAAAAGCAAGTTCTTGTCGTACAGTTTCTCCAACAGCTACCTCTTTCGACTTTGTGACACCATTCTCAAGCCAGTTGACAACAATAGGCACAGCGGCATTGTTTGTGAAATCAGCGACAACATACATCGGATAGTTGCTTGCCACTACAGACGCAGCTATCTTGTCCCTAGTTACTGCCAATGATACATCGCTACCACCATTCAACAAAACAACTTCATTATTGTCTTTTCTCTTTGCTGTGAATTTCACCGTTCTCTTCAAATCACCATCACCAAAAGAAAGTTCTTGTCGTACAGTTTCTCCAACAGCTACCTCTTTCGACTTTGTGATACCATTCTCAAGCCAGTTGACAACAATTGGTACAGCGGCATTGTTAACGAAATCAGCAACAACATACATCGGATAGTTGCTTGCCACTACAGACGCAGCTATCTTGTCCCTCGTTACTGCCAATGATACATCGCTAGCACCATTCAACAAAACAACTTCATTATTGTCTTTTCTCTTTGCTGTGAATTTCACCGTTCTCTTCAAATCACCATCACCAAAAGAAAGTTCTTGTCGTACAGTTTCTCCAACAGCTACCTCTTTCGACTTTGCGACACCATTCTCAATCCAGTCGACAACAATTGGCACAGCAGCATTGTTAACGAAATCAGCAACAACATACATCGGATAGTTGCTTGCCACTACAGACGCAGCTATCTTGTCCCTCGTTACTGCCAATGATACATCGCTAGCACCATTCAACAAAACAACTTCATCATTGTCTTTTCTCTTTGCTGTGAATTTCACCGTTTTCTTCAAATCACCATCTTCAAAAGAAAGTTCTTGTCGTACAATTTCTCCAACAGCTACCTCTTTCGACTTTGTGATACCATTCTCAAGCCAGTTGACAACAATTGGTACAGCGGCATTGTTAACGAAATCAGCAACAACATACATCGGATAGTTGCTTGCCAATACAGACGCAGCTATCTTGTCCCTCGTTACTGCCAATGATACATCGCTAGCACCATTCAACAAAACAACTTCATCATTGTCTTTTCTCTTTGCTGTGAATTTCACCGTCTTCTTCAAATCACCATCACCAAAAGCAAGTTCTTGTCGTACAGTTTCTCCAACAGCTACCTCTTTCGACTTCTTCACACCATTTTCAAGCCAGTTGACAACAATAGGCACAGCGGCATTGTTTGTGAAATCAGCGACAACATACATCGGATAGTTGCTTGCCACTACAGACTCAGCTATCTTGTCCCTCGTTACTGCCAATGATACATCGCTAGCACCATTCAACAAAACAACTTCATCATTGTCTTTTCTCTTTGCTGTGAATTTCACCGATTTCTTCAAATCACCATCTCCAAAAGCAAGTTCTTGTCGTACAGTTTCTCCAAAAGCTACCTCTTTCGACTTTGCGACACCATTCTCAATCCAGTCGACAACAATTGGCACAGCAGCATTGTTAACGAAATCAGCAACAACATACATCGGATAGTTGCTTGCCACTACAGACGCAGCTATCTTGTCCCTCGTTACTGCCAATGATACATCGCTAGCACCATTCAACAAAACAACTTCATCATTGTCTTTTCTCTTTGCTGTGAATTTCACCGTTTTCTTCAAATCACCATCTTCAAAAGCAAGTTCTTGTCGTACAGTTTCTTCAACAGCTACCTCTTTCGACTTTTTGACACCATTCTCAAGCCAGTTGACAACAATTGGCACAGCGGCATTGTTAGCGAAATCAGCAACAACATACATCGGATAGTTGCTTGCCACTACAGACGCAGCTATCTTGTCCCTCGTTACTGCCAATGATATATCGCTAGCACCATTCAACAAAACAACTTCCTCATTGTCTTTTCTCTTTGCTGTGAATTTCACCGATTTCTTCAAATCACCATCACCAAAAGCAAGTTCTTGTCGTACAGTTTCTCCAACAGCTACCTCTTTCGACTTTTGACACCATTCTCAAGCCAGTTGACAACAATAGGCACAGCGGCATTGTTAACGAAATCAGCGACAACATACATCGGATAGTTGCTTGCCACTACAGACGCAGCTATCTTGTCCCTCGTTACTGCCAATGATACATCGCTAGCACCATTCAACAAAACAACTTCATCATTGTCTTTTCTCTTTGCTGTGAATTTCACCGATTTCTTCAAATCACCATCTTCAAAAGCAAGTTCTTGTCGTACAGTTTCTCCAACAGCTACCTCTTTTGACTTCTTCACACCATTTTCAAGCCAGTTGATAACAATTGGCACAGCGGCATTGTTAACGAAATCAGCAACAACATACATAGGATAGTTGCTTGCCACTACAGACGCAGCTATCTTGTCCCTCGTTACTGCCAATGAAACATCGCTAGCACCATTCAACAAAACAACTTCATCATTGTCTTTTCTCTTTGCTGTGAATTTCACCGATTTCTTCAAATCACCATCTTCAAAAGCAAGTTCTTGTCGTACAGTTTCTCCAACAGCTACCTCTTTCGACTTCTTCACACCATTTTCAAGCCAGTTGACAACAATTGGTACAGCGGCATTGTTTGTGAAATCAGCGACAACATACATCGGATAGTTGCTCGCCACTACAGACGCAGCTATCTTGTCCCTCGTTACTGCCAATGATACATCGCTAGCACCATTCAACAAAACAACTTCATCATTGTCTTTTCTCTTTGCTGTGAATTTCACCGATTTCTTCAAATCACCATCTTCAAAAGCAAGTTCTTGTCGTACAGTTTCTCCAACAGCTACATCTTTCGACTTTGTGATACCATTCTCAAGCCAGTTGACAGCAATTGGCACAGCGGCATTGTTAACGAAATCAGCAAACACATACATCGGATAGTTGCTTGCCACTACAGACGCAGCTATCTTGTCCCTCGTTACTGCCAATGATACATCGCTAGCACCACTCAACAAAACAACTTCATCATTGTCTTTTCTCTTTGCTGTGAATTTCACCGATTTCTTCAAATCACCATCTTCAAAAGCAAGTTCTTGTCGTACAGTTTCTCCAACAGCTACATCTTTCGACTTTGTGATACCATTCTCAAGCCAGTTGACAACAATTGGCACAGCGGCATTGTTAACGAAATCAGCAACAACATACATCGGATAGTTGCTTGCCACTACAGACGCAGCTATCTTATCCCTCGTTACTGCCAATGATATATCGCTAGCACCATTCAACAAAACAACTTCCTCATTGTCTTTTCTCTTTGCTGTGAATTTCACCGATTTCTTCAAATCACCATCACCAAAAGCAAGTTCTTGTCGTACAGTTTCTCCAACAGCTACCTCTTTCGACTTCTTGACACCATTCTCAAGCCAGTTGACAACAATAGGCACAGCGGCATTGTTTGTGAAATCAGCGACAACATACATCGGATAGTTGCTTGCCACTACAGACGCAGCTATCTTGTCCCTCGTTACTGCCAATGATACATCGCTAGCACCATTCAACAAAACAACTTCATCATTGTCTTTTCTCTTTGCTGTGAATTTCACCGATTTCTTCAAATCACCATCTTCAAAAGCAAGTTCTTGTCGTACAGTTTCTCCAACAGCTACCTCTTTCGACTTCTTCACACCATTTTCAAGCCAGTTGACAACAATTGGTACAGCGGCATTGTTTGTGAAATCAGCGACAACATACATCGGATAGTTGCTCGCCACTACAGACGCAGCTATCTTGTCCCTCGTTACTGCCAATGATACATCGCTAGCACCATTCAACAAAACAACTTCATCATTGTCTTTTCTCTTTGCTGTGAATTTCACCGATTTCTTCAAATCACCATCTTCAAAAGCAAGTTCTTGTCGTACAGTTTCTCCAACAGCTACATCTTTCGACTTTCTGATACCATTCTCAAGCCAGTTGACAACAATTGGCACAGCGGCATTGTTAACGAAATCAGCAACAACATACATCGGATAGTTGCTTGCCACTACAGACGCAGCTATCTTGTCCCTCGTTACTGCCAATGATACATCGCTAGCACCATTCAACAAAACAACTTCCTCATTGTCTTTTCTCTTTGCTGTGAATTTTACCGATTTCTTCAAATCACCATCTTCAAAAGCAAGTTCTTGTCGTACAGTTTCTCCAACAGCTACCTCTTTCGACTTCTTCACACCATTTTCAAGCCAGTTGACAACAATTGGTACAGCGGCATTGTTTGTGAAATCAGCGACAACATACATCGGATAGTTGCTCGCCACTACAGACGCAGCTATCTTGTCTCTCGTTACTGCCAATGATACATCGCTAGCACCATTCAACAAAACAACTTCATCATTGTCTTTTCTCTTTGCTGTGAATTTTACCGATTTCTTCAAATCACCATCTTCAAAAGCAAGTTCTTGTCGTACAGTTTCTCCAACAGCTACATCTTTCGACTTTGTGATACCATTCTCAAGCCAGTTGACAACAATTGGCACAGCGGCATTGTTAACGAAATCAGCAACAACATACATCGGATAGTTGCTTGCCACTACAGACGCAGCTATCTTGTCCCTCGTTACTGCCAATGATATATCGCTAGCACCATTCAACAAAACAACTTCCTCATTGTCTTTTCTCTTTGCTGTGAATTTCACCGTTTTCTTCAAATCACCATCTTCAAAAGCAAGTTCTTGTCGTACAGTTTCTCCAACAGCTACCTCTTTCGATTTCTTCACACCATTCTCAAGCCAGTTGAAAACAATTGGTACAGCGGCATTGTTTGTGAAATCAGCGACAACAAACATCGGATAGTTGCTTGCCAATACAGACGCAGCTATCTTGTCCCTCGTTACTGCCAATGAAACATCGCTAGCACCATTCAACAAAACAACTTCATCATTGTCTTTTCTCTTTGCTGTGAATTTCACCGTCTTCTTCAAATCACCATCACCAAAAGCAAGTTCTTGTCGTACAGTTTCTCCAACAGCTACCTCCTTAGACTTTGTGACACCATTCTCAATCCAGTCGACAACAATTGGCACAGCAGCATTGTTAACGAAATCAGCAACAACATACATCGGATAGTTGCTTGCCACTACAGACGCAGCTATCTTGTCCCTCGTTACTGCCAATGATACATCGCTAGCACTATTCAACAAAACAACTTCATCATTGTCTTTTCTCTTTGCTGTGAATTTCACCGATTTCTTCAAATCACCATCTTCAAAAGCAAGTTCTTGTCGTACAGTTTCTCCAACAGCTACCTCTTTCGACTTTGTGACACCATTCTCAAGCCAGTTGACAACAATTGGCACAGCGGCATTGTTAACGAAATCAGCAACAACATACATCGGATAGTTGCTTGCCACTACAGACGCAGCTATCTTGTCCCTCGTTACTGCCAATGAAACATCGCTAGCACCATTCAACAAAACAACTTCATCATTGTCTTTTCTCTTTGCTGTGAATTTCACCGTCTTCTTCAAATCACCATCACCAAAAGCAAGTTCTTGTCGTACAGTTTCTCCAACAGCTACATCTTTCGACTTTGTGATACCATTCTCAAGCCAGTTGACAACAATTGGCACAGCGGCATTGTTAACGAAATCAGCAACAACATACATCGGATAGTTGCTTGCCACTACAGACGCAGCTATCTTGTCCCTCGTTACTGCCAACGATACATCGCTAGCACCATTCAACAAAACAACTTCATCATTGTCTTTTCTCTTTGCTGTGAATTTTACCGATTTCTTCAAATCACCATCTTCAAAAGCAAGTTCTTGTCGTACAGTTTCTCCAACAGCTACCTCTTTCGACTTTGTGACACGATTCTCAAGCCAGTTGACAACAATTGGCACAGCGGCATTGTTTGTGAAATCAGCGACAACAAACATTGGATAGTTGCTTGCCACTACAGACGCAGCTATCTTGTCCCTCGTTACTGCCAATGATACATCGCTAGCACTATTCAACAAAACAACTTCATCATTGTCTTTTCTCTTTGCTGTGAATTTTACCGTTTTCTTCAAATCACCATCTTCAAAACCAAGTTCTTGTCGTACAGTTTCTCCAACAGCTACCTCTTTCGACTTCTTCACACCATTTTCAAGCCAGTTGACAACAATAGGCACAGCGGCATTGTTTGTGAAATCAGCGACAACATACATCGGATAGTTGCTTGCCACTACAGACGCAGCTATCTTGTCCCTCGTTACTGCCAATGAAACATCGCTAGCACCATTCAACAAAACAACTTCATCATTGTCTTTTCTCTTTGCTGTGAATTTCACCGATTTCTTCAAATCACCATCTTCAAAAGCAAGTTCTTGTCGTACAGTTTCTCCAACAGCTACCTCTTTTGACTTCTTCACACCATTTTCAAGCCAGTTGACAAGAATTGGCACAGCGGCATTGTTAACAAAATTGGCAATAATGTATACTTTTTGTAGAGTCACTTTGATATAATTTGTAGCATTGTCTTTTTTCACTGTTATTGTGACATTTTCTTTTTTATTCAAAAGGATGCCTTCCTTATAATCACTTTGAAATGTTACGTGTTTTCCTATTTGTTTTGTAGGGTATAAAATTGTCTTAGTAGCGATTTTTTTTGGGTTTATTTGCACAGACACAGTTTTGTTTCCTTGCTTCCAATAAATTGTAATTTTCCTATGAGAGCTGTTCTCGATTACTGTATTGATGTATCCATTTTTCGGTTTTCTCGATGTTGCTGTAATCTTGTGCACTTTTATTTGAATTGTTGGTTCCAGTGATAGGTACTTTACCTTGTTTACGTCGATAACCAGGTCAATTACTTGTGTTGTTGCATAGACCTTCACTGGTTCCGCGTTGTTTTCTCCTCTAAAAACAAATGCTTTTTTGCCTAGTTGATCTTTCTTGAGCGTAATATACTTCTTCTTAACACCTTTCTCAAGCACTACCTCTATGTCATCTGTGGCGTTGTTCTGGATTTCAAGGTTAAGATATTTCATATCTGTGTCATCCATAGCCGTGCTCCAGTAGTCATCATACCATGGGTCTATTTCAAACGGTTCTGTCGCAATTATTTTATTTGGTGTTTTTTGCTTAGATGGCATCACTATAACTGTTGGAGCCTGGTTCACATTGATTGGAAAATCGAAATCAGATAACCTCGCTGTGACTTCTATTGGCATATAAGCGGATTCTCCGCTTAACTGCAATTCAAATCGTTCGATACTTCCGTCTCCTACTATCTTTCGTTTTGTGTTTGCTCCGTTATATGTAATTATGAAAGCTACTGGATCATTTGCTTCGTTTTTGAGCACAAATACCCCGTACTTTGGTATATCTCTAGCTACTGCAAAGTTTTTAACCTTGTCCATAAGTGGTATCACCTCGAAACTTTCCTGGTTATTCAATTCTACTTCATCACGATACGCTTTCAAAGTTCCCATGAAAATAACAGGTTTTAAAGCATCACTACCAAGAATCGATAGTTCTAGCATTTTTCTTCTCTTTGGATCTAGAGTAAATGACTTTCTGAGCCCTCTTTCTTGCCAAAATATCTCAACCTCAGCAAAGGCACGATTTTCAAACTCAACAACCACATATCTTAAATCGTCTGTAGCCACGATCTTCCTCTTTTTTGTCTCATCTGAAGGCAGAAATGCTGCCGTGATATGTCCATTCAACCGGACATCTCCTTTTGTGTCTTTCCGTTTAGCGGTAAATACAACGGGATTAGCTCTATCTCTTCCGATCACAGATATGTGTTTTTCGATAGTTTCTCCCTTTTCGAGGACAATCATCTTTTCTTCTATATTATCAAGCCATGAAATAACTACTGGACCTTTGGCCTCATTTATAAAATTCACAACCAAAGACTGCAGCCTGTCCCCTGCAACTAAAGTCTGAGTAATTTTCTTCGAAGATGGGAGAATAGTGCGCGAAACTGTTGAATTGAGCATCACTTTGAATGAGCTACCTCTTAGGTACGAATGAGCAGTGAATGCTATTGGATGCTCCCCTTGACCTTCATAAAATCTTTCCTCAAGATGCCGATTTGATCCACTAGGGACACGCATGAAGTAATTGACACCCTCTCGATACCAAGTGAGCTTGATGTCTTCCTTTGCGTTATTGATCACATTTATTGCAATCCAAGTGTCAGCTGATTTTTCTGATATTATCAGCGATTCCCTTGTCCTACGCGTCGATGGAGTAAATGAAACCGAGCGTGCAGTATTCAAAGAAACTTCCCTACCACTTTTTATGGTTGAACCGCTAAATGAAACAGGGCCTAAAGCTCCAGGTCGGGACAGGTTGAATGCCAACTCATTCTTGATAAGAGATCGCCCAGGAACATTCATTACCCTTTTTCTACCATTTTCTTGCCATTGTATAGAAACAAACTCATCCAGGGTGTTATTAACATCTAATAGAATGTATGCAAAACCTACATCTGGTGCTGAAATGAAAAAAATCAATTAAATTTTAATATTTTCCTCTACACTTATAAAAATTTATTTGATTTTTAAACATAAGAATGGGGTCCTTATTTTGACTTTCTGTTTATTTAGAAAAAACTTGCCATTTTAATCAATGGTTACCTTAAGAAATCGGAATTACCTCAAAATTTAAATGCTTTAAAGTCCTTAAAAATTTTCAATTAACGCCTAATTTTACATTACTTTCTACTTAAGGATAAGCAATTCTCATTATGAAATAAAGTTCTCAAAAGTTGATGAGAAATATTCCGAACATTGATTCACAAAAAGCATTTATCGATATTATTGGGCGCATTAAACACATACCAATTACCAGCTCTTCTTCAAAACTCTTTTCGTGCAAAATGAGTTCGAATTTTTCTCTGCCAAGCAACTTCACCTGTTCTTTCGAATCTTTCCCGAAAGCCACAAAAGAAATAGGATCTGGGTAATAGTCTTGGGTCATCCGAATCTCAACAGTTTTATTGCTGTTAGGAGCGATCTGGAGTTGTTTAGAAATACCCCTCTCTTTCCAGTTAAGTAAGACTGCTTCATCAAGCAGGTTGTCCACGTTAAGTTTTGCTGAATATGTAGTTAGTCTGCCAATATCTTTGGAGAAAGAAAGATTACAGTTGCTTAAAAAGCGAAAAATGAACAAGGTTGCAACTATCTGTAGATTCGAGTAGGGTGCATATAAGGAGCAAAATAATCAGACGAGTAAGGTGCATATTGAAAAATCTGCAAAGTCATCAATCAATAGGTGATAGAAAATAAATCAAATAGCTACAGTGCAAGCTGGGAAGTAATGAAGTTAACCGATAGATAAACACAAAGAAGGTAGAAAAAAGGCAAAGCCATTAGCATAGTCATTAATATTTTGATATGTAATCAAGCTCCATTTGCGAAATTTTAACCATTACTACTAAAATATTTTTTTCTCTTGATTTAATAGCCCATGTATCAACATTAAAAATTTATCATAGAATCAAAATCCAATTTTTTTTTATTCAAAGCATTTTAAAATCTCTAAGAAACAAGATTTTAGGAAGCTCTAGATACATGAGGAGCTCGCCTATTTAAAAAAAAAGCTTTTGAACGAGGCAGTTACTCAGATAACAAACATATCTTTGCGAGTTAATTGTTCAGCAGGCAATCTACATTTGGAATTTATTAAACAATTTACATGAACATTAACGTTTTAAAAAGTTCCAAATCGCTCTGCCTATCTCTCTAAAACATATTACAAAACTTACCTATTCTTTCAGGTTGTTTTGTCGGATCCAAGCCTACAGCTGTATAGGGTGGCAATATTCGATCTACAGAACAACAAAGAAAAAATTCAAATGCTGTTCAGACACCACGGGTTCAAATTGTAGCAAAGAACTGTTTATAAGAATCAACACATGGAATGGAAAGGAAATAGAACGAGAATTTATAACTTTAATGTCATTTTGGAATAATGATTCAAAACAACATAGATTGGAGGGAGGTATTATCCCAATCATAAATGGCCGAACCGGACTCCGCTCCTGGGAAGTAACAAAACATTTCACAGTTAAAGGGGCACAAGGCGCCAGGGGCATTATGTCTAAGGGGCAAAAAAGTAAAAGTTGTAAAGAGAGAATCTGCACAATAATGGCAGTTTTCATAACTTTGGGGGACATGTCCCCCCTGGTACCCTTCTGGCCTCGACGTCTGGTCACTGAAATGCTGTGTCTAAACATCCCAACTTGAACAAAAAATGTGCAAACAAATTAGAAAGAAGTTTATTATATACAATAGAACAAAACTCAGCTCTATAGGAAAATTCTAAAACTCACCAATGCTACATCTGAAATCGAAATTGTCAAGGAATTTTTTCTCAGCTAAACCTTTGAAATTGCGCACTAAATAAACCCCTTCAGTATTTCCAACGATTATCTCGAGCTCGTCTCGTTGAACACGACGTCCAATGCCGATGGCCTTCATATGAACTCCGGCTCTTTTCAAAGGCTTGGAAGCGACCCTAAGGTCAGTATAGGAATCAGATTTGGTTTGCCTGCTAGGGGTGATTAGAATAAGTAAAGGACGTGCGTCTTTTCTTGCCCCATACCCAGCTGACAAGACCTTCTTGTAAACATAATTGAGACCCTTGTCCAAGAACGTAGAGGAAAGTTCATGTTTCATCTCGCGCACAGCTGACACAAATGAAGCAGTGTCATAGAAATCGTTCAGTTTTATTGCAACTGATGCATCCCAGCTAAACAAAACCACGCCAGCGTGAATACCTTCCCTTGATACTCCGTTCGATATAGCAACAGAGCTGATGAAATCCTTCATTTCTTTATACTGAGAGGGTGTCGTGCTTCCGGAAGAGTCGACAAGAAAAACAAGATCCAGTTTCAAGTCACAGGAGTCTGAAAAAAACAACTGCCTTAGAATGGGAGCTTCAAATGAAAATATCAGAATACAACATGCTCTTCTTTATGCTCTAGCATTTTTAAAAAGCTAAGAAAAAATGGGAAGGTTGAAACAAATTAAATAAGATATGAAAGGAAAATAAACAAGAAGAAGCGATTTGCGATCACAACAACAATAGAACGTCAAATCAGAATTTAAACTAAAAAATACTTGCACTAGACTGGAACTCACCGTCAGTTAGGACGATCTCATTACTCTTTTCTGTAGAAGCTTTGTTCACAAGTAACTTCAGCCTATCATTAAACTTTATTTTGCGATTGGTCTTTTCATTTACTCCGGTAAGAAAGAGGCTGTCTACCATCAATATTGGCTTCAATTTGAATTCCTTCACCATACCAAAAGGGATTCTTAATATCTCAAGATCAGGGCCTAACTGAAACCGCACAACAACATCGCTTGAAGCACGATTTTGAGTAACAGCTTCAAAGGCGATAAAACCAAGAAAGAAGGTAATCTTGAAGGGACAGGAACAAATTCTATTTCTGTTTTGTCGTTAAGCAAAACTGGAAAGTCACTCTCCTTGAGGATTCCTTTGAAACGTAGAGGTTGGTCTGCCTTCGGCCCATTCCTTATAATTTCAACAATGGACTTGAGGCCTTTACCAATTTCTCTAGCTCCTTTAACACCGTCGACCTCCCATTGTAACTCTATGGCTCCCCCTACTTCATTAGACACGTTCAAAACTGAGTAAAAGTTCATTTCGGCAAACACAGCTTTTCTGGTTGTGTTTATTGTCGGGTACAACTTAAGCTGACCAACGCCGTTCAATTTTACAGTATTTCCTTTCAACTTTGCTTCAAACTCGATTGGAGCCAAGCCTGCATCTCCTTCAAAGAGCAAATCTAGTGTTCTGCTACTGTTTCTTTTCACGGTCAATTCTTTCGCTTTTCCTTTTGTTATTTCTATATCTCCAGCTACATTGTTTATAAAGTTTAAATTCATAAACCGCAAAAGCTTCCCAATTACAAGCGTTTGCTCCTTGCCGTCCAAAGCTTGCTTCAAACTGTAAACAATTGAACCGTTCACAGCAAGTCGGTTTTGTTCACCATTTTCATGTGAGAAAGCGCCAAACGAAATTGGCACAGATTTTCCACTTTTAGGATCAATCTCATGAGAACGGCTCGAATCTTTATCGACGTACATGACCTTGTGGAGCTTGTCTTCTTCCCAAAACAACTCAGCAGATTCGCTGGCATTATTGATGACATTCAGATATATTTTGGCTACATGACGTCTTGGTGATATAAGTAGGATCTTCACCTTTTTGTCAATAGAAGGTGTAAAGAAGATAGCTTCATTACTGTTGAGAGAAACCTTTTGCTTCGCTTCTTTAGTGAATCCATTAAACTCGATAGGAGACAGTGATCCTGGCTTTTCCAAATCAAATTCAAGGCTTTTCTTTTCCGTTGATTTCGCACCAACCGTTATTGACTTTTTTACTCCGTTTTGTTGCCATTGAATCACGACTGGCTCGTCCAAGGTGCTCTTTATATCGAGGACAAGATAAGATGATCCTTTCTCTGGAGCTATTTAATAGTAAAAGAGATAGCAGATCACACTAAAATTTTCTCAATGAACATACGAAAAAGAAAAATATCAAAAAGCAAAGTTGCGAGAGGATGGGTCGGTCAGTATTTCAGCAAAAATTCAGTCAAAAATAATCATTGAAACGAATCAATTGTTCCAAAAGAAATACAAAACATTTTCTCAGTTTCTCTCTATCAAGCAATGCTGAAAAGGCACAGAATAGCGATTCAATCTCTTGAGAAATGTTCTTAAGTAAAAACATCTGTCTATGTCAAATACAACTGTCAAAATGACAAGATCTAACTGCTGACAGCTAAGAAGAATTCAAACCTACCAATTATCACGCGTTCTGGAATAACTGTAGTTCTAGGGATCAAGTACAAATCTTTCCTCCCATTAACCATGACAGGCTTCTTCGTCACCTTTTCGAAGAAGGAAAATCGAATTGGGTCAGGATAATACTCTTTCTTCATTCTGACATCAATGCTCCTGTTGGTACGCACTTCAGCCTCCTTTTCTGCACTACCCTCCATCCAAACAACAACAACTGGCTTGCCAAGTTTGTTTTCAATCTCCAGAACAATTGTATATTCTTTCAAAGGTCCACGCGCTGAAAACACAGAAACGAAATTTCTCCTCAAAGTTCAAATCAAATTAAATTCTAGATCTTTTTTGCTTTTCTTGACGATTATTAACGAAGATAAAACAGTCGCACGAATAGTTCGCAAAAGATGGATAACTTTATTATCAAAGTAGAGCAATGATAAAGGAGTAGCATTATATCTTCATTCTTACCTTTCTTCACTTGAGTTTCCAAAGCAAGCTGTTCGACCATTTCTGAAAGACCGAGGAAAACTTAAAAATCAAGTTGTGGATAGTGAAGGAAATACAACCAATTCGTGTTTTAACACTCATCTTTTTTATAATGTTGTTCACATTCTCCTCCGAAATGCCTTCACTTAGAACTGTCAATTGCGACATTTCAATAAACACCAAATTATTCAATCACTCAAATGGCAAAGCATCAAGTAGAAAATAACTGGCACATTGTTAGCACTTACGTAAAAGAACGACAGAGATGAATAAACAACATAAATGCGTGTCAAGAGATGGATTTCCAGTTCATAGCTACTTACTCGGATCACAGTTGAAGTTGAAGCTTTTTAGGAAATCCTCCTTGTACAACTGGTCAAATGACCGAATCATGTACACAGTCTTGGATGTGCCTGTGATAGCTTCCAGTTCCTGCCTGTTTGCATGTGGCCCAATTCCGATGGCCTTCAGAAGAACGCCTTCATTCAAAAGAGGCTTTGCAACGACACTCGGCTCTATGAAGCTGTATCTTCTTGTCTGCCTTCCATCCGTAAGCAATATAAGAACTTTGGCAACTCCACTTCGTGCGCCATAGCTTCTTGTAAACAACTTATCGTAGGAGTCTTTTAGGCCCTTGTCTATTCGTGTTATTGAGCATTCATGCTTCAACTTCTGCACGGCCGATTCAAAGGCTTTGCTGTCATAAAAGTCACTCAGTTTAATGGCCACTGATGATGAGTGGCTGAACAAAACCACGCCGGCGTGAAGTCCAGATGAAGATATTTCATTCAACTCAACAACCTTTTTGATAAAATCTTTCTGATGTTGGTATTGTTTTGGTAAAATGCTTCCAGATGCATCCACGACAAATCCCAAGTCCACTTGAAGCTGACATTTATCTGAAACATTGGAAAATTTCAAATTTTTTATAAGATTGAATTTCTTTTAGAGAAAATCTCAAAGAAAAGTTAATGGGAAAGATCGAATTCAATCCAGTACAAGTTAAACATGCCATCAAGAGGAAATTGCTGACACTTTAATAACAAAAACCCATGGCCAGATTCGTATCATTATTGTGATGCAGAAAATGGAAATCGCTACTCACCATCAGTTATCACAATCGTTATTCGCTTTCCAGAAGTGCCTTGTTCAACCTTAAAGCTCAAACTCTCGTTATATTTAGTCTTTCTCGATAAATCTGTGTTATGACCACTAAATAGCAAAGAATTATTCTTTTCATTAAACTTGATCTTTATTGATCTCAAAATACCAACAGGAGTATTGACAATCTCGACGTCAGAACCTGATTGTATTCGAGTAACAACGTCTCCTGAAGCATTGTTTATCAATACCAGCTCATGTACAGTTGCAAGCACTGGCACAGATTGGCGCAAAGCGACAGGAACAACTTCTATTCCTGTTTTGTCGTTAAGCAAAACTGGAAAGTCACTCTCCTTGAGGATTCCTTTGAAACGTAGAGGTTGGTCTGCCTTCCGCCCATTCCTTATAATTTCAACAATGGACTTGAGGCCTTTACCAATTTCTCTAGCTCCTTTAACACCGTCGACCTCCCATTGTAACTCTATGGGTCCCCCTACTTCATTAGACACGTTCAAAACTGAGTAAAAGTTCATTTCGGCAAACACAGCTTTTCTGGTTGTGTTTATTGTCGGGTACAACTTAAGCTGCCCAACGCCGTTCAATTTTACAGTATTTCCTTTCAACTTTGCTTCAAACTCGATTGGAGCCAAGCCTGCATCTCCTTCAAAGAGCAAATCTAGTGTTCTGCTACTGTTTCTTTTCACGGTCAATTCTTTCGCTTTTCCTTTTGTTATTTCTATATCTCCAGCTACATTGTTTATAAAGTTTAAATTCATAAACCGCAAAAGCTTCCCAATTACAAGCGTTTGCTCCTTGCCGTCCAAAGCTTGCTTCAAACTGTAAACAATTGAACCGTTCACAGCAAGTCGGTTTTGTTCACCATTTTCATGTGAAAAAGCGCCAAACGAAATTGGCACAGATTTTCCACTTTTAGGATCAATCTCATGAGAACGGCTCGAATCTTTATCGACGTACATGACCTTGTGGAGCTTGTCTTCTTCCCAAAACAACTCAGCAGATTCGCTGGCATTATTGATGACATTCAGATATATTTTGGCTACTTGACGTCTTGGTGATATAAGTAGGATCTTCACCTTTTTGTCAATGGAAGGTGTAAAGAAGATAGCTTCATTACTGTTGAGAGAAACCTGTTGCTTCGCTTCTTTAGTAAATCCATTAAACTCGATAGGAGACAGTGATCCTGGATTTTCCAAATCAAATTCAAGGCTTTTCTTTTCCGTTGATTTCGCAACAACCGTTATTGACTTTTTTACTCCGTTTTGTTGCCATTGAATCACGACTGGCTCGTCCAAGGTGCTCTTTATATCGAGGACAAGATAAGATGATCCTTTCTCTGGAGCTGTTTAATAGTAAGAGAGATAGCAAATCACACTAAAATCTTCTCAATGAACATACGAAAAAGAAAAATATCAAAAAGCAAAGTTGCGAGAGGATGGGTCGGTCAGTATTTCAGCAAAAATTCAGTCAAAAATAATCATGGAAAGGAATCAATTGTTCATAAAGAAATACAAAACATTTTCTCAGCTTTTCTTTATCAAGTAATGCTGAAAAGGCACAGAATAGCGATTCAATCTCTTGAGAAATGTTCGTAAGTAAAAACATCTGTCTTTGTCAAATACAACAGTCAAAATGACAAGATCTAACTGCTGACAGCTATGAAGAATTCAAACCTACCAATTATCACGCGTTCTGGAATAACTGTAGTTCTAGGGATCAAGTACAAATCTTTCCTCCCATTAACCATGACAGGCTTCTTCGTCACCTTTTCGAAGAAGGAAAATCGAATTGGGTCAGGATAATACTCTTTCTTCATTCTGACATCAATGCTCCTGTTGGTACGCACTTCAGCTTCCTTTTCTGCACTACCCTCCATCCAAGCAACAACAACTGGCTTGCCAAGTTTGTTTTCAATGTCCAGAACAATTGTATATTCTTTCAAAGGTCCACGCGCTGAAAACACAGAAACGAAATTTCTCAGCAAAGTTCAAATAAATTTAAATTCTAGATCTTTTTTGCTTTTGTTGACGATTATTAACGAAGATAAAACAGTCGCACGAATAGTTCGCAAAAGATGGATAAATTTATTATCAAAAAAGAGCAACGATAAAGGAGTAGCATTATATCTTCATTCTTACCTTTCTTCACTTGAGTTTCCAAAGCAAGCTGTTCGACCATTCCTGAAAGACCGAGGAAAACTTAAAAATCAAGTTGTGGATAGTAAAGGAAATACAAACCAATTCGTGTTTTAACACTCATCTTTTTTATAATGTTGTTCACATTCTCCTCCGAAATGCCTTCACTTACAAAAAGAACATAATACAGAACTGTCAATTGGGGCATTCAAATAAACACCAAATTATTCAATCACTCAAATGGCAAAGCATCAAGTAGAAAATAACTGGCACATAGCTAGCACTTACGTAAAAGAACGACAGAGATGAATAAACAACATAAATGCGTGTCAAGAGATGGATTTCCAGTTCATAGCTACTTACTCGGATCACAGTTGAAGTTGAAGCTTTTTAGGAAATCCTCCTTGTACAACTGGTCAAAGGACCGAATCATGTACACAGTCTTGGATGTGCCGGTAATAGCTTCCAGTTCCTGCCTGTTTGCATGTGGCCCAATTCCGATGGCCTTTAGAAGAACGCCTTCATTCAAAAGAGGCTTTGCAACGACACTCGGCTCTATGAAGCTGTATCTTCTTGTCTGCCTTCCATCCGTAAGCAATATAAGAACTTTGGCAACTCCACTTCGTGCGCCATAGCTTCTTGTAAACAACTTATCGTAGGAGTCTTTTAGGCCCTTGTCTATTCGTGTTATTGAGCATTCATGCTTCAACTTCTGCACGGCCGATTTAAAGGCTTTGCTGTCATAAAAGTCACTCAGTTTAATAGCCACTGAAGATGAGTGGCTGAACAAAACCACGCCGGCGTGAAGTCCAGATGAAGATATTTCATTCAACTCAACAACCTTTTTGATAAAATCTTTCTGATGTTGGTATTGTTTTGGTAAAATGCTTCCAGATGCATCCACGACAAATCCCAAGTCCACTTGAAGCTGACATTTATCTGAAACATTGGAAAATTTTACATATTATAAGTAGTAGCAAATTCTTGCTAAAGCATAGGAGAGAGCAAAAAATTTAATGGAAGACTTACTATAACCTGGTATAGGTTTTAAATATCATTAGACAGTATAACTTGTTTTGCTTTGAGTGACAAAGAATTTTTAAATTTTGTTTGGAATCGAATCGTCTCGTGCAAAAAAGCGTTGTTTTTGTTTGTCACCAGTAACTCATTAAGACTCTTTCATTATTATAGTTTTTACATTTTTCAAAATTCTTTTTGATTTTATGTTCCTAATTATAAGCTTGGTACAAATATTTTTAAGGCCACTTTCAGAGGAACTAATCAATGTATGATTGTCTTCTTTGTGACAGTGACCAAGGATTCTAGAATAACCAGAGACCAACGTAACATCAATACAAAATTTTGAATCTTGAAATTGAAAGAGCCGTTTTGCTTGAGGATCATGAAGAGATGAAATATCGATTGGCCAAAAATTGGTGTGCAAAAAAGTGCCTCTAGACGAATTTGGTTTGTGAAGATTGTCTTCTTTGCAGTACAGTCGAACCTCTAATAGCGACCACCTCCGATTAGCGACCACAGACCTTCAGTCCCAACCTTTTGTGAATGTTTTTAGTAAACCTCCGAATTACGGCCACCTCCCATTAACGGCCACTAGGCCTTTTATCTCAAAGTGGCCACTATTAGAGGTTCGACTGTATTTTTTTCTGTTAAAAATGAGCAGCAGCTAATGCCTTAGTATGGCACTTATAAATGTCGCCATGTTTTACACTTTCCCTTAGAAAATAATATCTGTATCATAGCAATAGAAAATTTTATTTAGAGGAGAAGCATATATAGCGCCCATTTTGGGTGTTGGCTCTTGGGTGTTGGCTCTTGGGTGTTGGCTCTTGGGTGTTGGCCCTTGGGTGTTGGCTCTTGGGTTTCTGCTCTTGAGTGTTGGCTCCAATTTTACATTGGGCGATGGCTTGTAAACAAGCGACCTGCAGAATAAGTTACAGAATAATTCTGAGCATTCATGGTTTTAATGAATATGGCTTAAAGGTTCTTACCGTCAGTAAGGAGAACAGTAATGGATTTCGTATTAGGGCTCCAGTAGAAATTCAAATCAGGCTTTCCATTCAACAGAACATCAGACTTCTTGTTGTTGTTAGCTGCATTTATCCGAAAAGAATCAGGCACAAAAGAGGCGTTCATGTATTTCGTCTTTTTGGAATTGTACGCTATTTTGACTTCTTGTACACTTTGTCTGCCAAAAATAGTGACAGTAACATTTGCGGAGCAATTGTTCACAAAATCTATATAAAATGCTGATGCAGTGACATAAAACTTGCTTAATTTTGCGGTTGGCGTGAACTCAATACTAGGTCGCCTATTGAGCTCCACTAGATGCGTTTCATCGTTCAACGAAGCAGTAAACTGTATCAGACTATCAGCGTTTTGCCCAGAAGTAGCAATGTCTATAACCTGTGTTTGACCTGCTGCAACCTCATTGCTTTTGATGCTCTTGTTGTCTTTCCATTTTAAATAGATTTTGTCCTTGATTTCGTTTTTAAGTTCAATTTGCAAAGAAAAGTCTTTGGTTATATTAATCCTTAGTGAAGTTCTCGACTTATACAGTGCTAGCTTTAAAGATCTTGCACCGTTAAGGTATACAAACTCGTTTGTGCCATTCATGACCCCGTGAAACTTGACAACTGTTGGTTTAGTAGAGAACAGCTCTAAATCTCTGACTGCACCTCTCTTAATGTTTACTGACTTTATTTGACTTTCAATTTCACAAAAAAGTTTGACATCCCCGGAAACAAAATTTATCATTGCCACATCTAAGAAGTAGCTTTCTGTAAGATTAACTATTATAAAAGTCTCATTGTCAGGGGTTGGATGCAACTCAATAGTGTCTAAGGAATTAAGTTTGATGTCTTTGACAGCGTCTTTAAGTGTGGCGCTAAAAGTAATCGGGAGATTTGCAAACTTGCCTTTAAAAACAAGCTCTAGTTTCTCCGAAGCATTTGCTGCAACCTCTATTGACCTCCTTTTTTCTTGTTCTTCCCAACTGACAACAACAGTTGAACTAACTTTGCTATCAAACCGGATAGGAAGGTGATGCTTCACTGTCGCAAGTAGTGCTAACTCAACTTTTTCTGGCGATGGTACCTCTTTGATGCTCCATTGACCATTAAGCTCTACTTTGGACTTGGTTTTTTTCGACACAGCGTTGATCACTACGGGCTTATTGGCTTTAGGGCCGTCGAAAGTAAAACTCCTGTTAGTTTTGGTATCATATTTGACGTCGAAATCGTGATGGTTTTCATTTTGCCGCACCCAAATACTTATATCTTCTGTCGCTTGATTATCAATCTTTACATCAAGGTAATAATTTTTATCGGCGACAATTTTCCTCGATCTAATGTGTGTTTGGGGTTGAATAGCAAGAGATTCTATATGGTTTAAAAGGACAGACTGATTTGTTCCTTTAAGAAATCCACGAAAAACAACTCTGTCTACTTCAAGCCTGTCCTTTAGAATTATAGATCTGCTTCTCGTTCCCATGTAAGGTATTTCTAAAAATTGTTTCCTTCCGTCTTCGCTCCAGAAAACTTCAATGGCATCAGTAGCCTTGTTCTCTACAGCAAAAATAATGAAATAGTCTTTAACTGCTTTTGTTATTTCCAATGGCTTTGTGACCTTCTTAATTGTTGGCGTATAAATAACATGTTTCTCTCCGTTAAGTTTTACAGGCAGTTTCTTCGGGCTTTCAACATAGCCTCGGAAAGTGATTGGACTTAGCCCAAATTTCCGATGGAAGATGACTTCTGCTTCCTTCTTTTCATTGGGGGAAACATACAAGGCCTTGCGTTTTCCTTGCTGCTGCCAAATTAAGGTCACATTTTGATCCAGATTATTCTTGATGTCGAAGTTAATGTAGGCGTTCTCAGAATGTGGCTCTGAAATTTATTAAATAAATATCTATACATTGGATGTAAAAAAGCAGTTTGTTTTTAGGTACCATAAAAACAAGGGTATAGAAGAATGGTAGAAACATTGAATTCTGGGTAAAGATCACAAATGAATTGAGACATTGCTCAAACTACGTAGCCTACGGAAGATGATGGAATAAAGAGAGGGGTTGTCAATTGCTTTTGTTATACACATTTTGAAACCTTTCTTGTCAAAAAGACTGTGATTAGTATTAAACATAAACGCCGATCCAAATAGTTTGCAAAATTCATTGGAGTTTGAATAATACACAACAAAAATTTCAATTAGTACAAAATCAACATACCAATTATGACAACTTCTTCAAATTTCTTTTGACGCGGGATTAACAAAAGTTTCTTTCTGTCTCTGAGAGCTATCGATTCTCCACTGTCTTCGTCGAATGCTTCAAATGTTATAGGGTTTGGATAGTTCTTACTTGCCATTTTCATTTCTATTGTTTTCTGTGTTCCATTCTCGACAGTTTCTTCTTTTGCCAAGCCTTCTACCTCCCATTTTATTACGATTGGGTGATAGTCGTTGTTTTTTACTTTCAGAACAATGAAATAATCATGCCTTGGATCTGTGGAGAGAATGATTGTAAATAGTATTATATAAGGAGCACCGCAACGCGACGAGAATAAACAACAACAAACACACAAATCAGTGATGGCTAATATTTTGATAAGTCTTGATAGGTCTGATTATTTAATCCAGTTTTTGCAAAAACACTTTCCATATACTCCATACTTTGGGACTATACTTTGCAAAAAGGCAGGGAAAAATTGACTTCTCTGTTAGAACACTATGAATGTTGGAATTGAAATTCCTCACATATTTTAAAAACCGAAACTAATATATGGCCCATAACCAACTTCTCCCCCTAAACTCTATGCCTGTTCTGCATGCATTCAATCAAAAAAGATGATTCATTGCACAGAAAGTCTGAATTTTCAGACATCTCTCCAGCCAGGCAAACACACCTCTCATGTTGAGGAATAATGATCCAATCATCAATCAATGTTTTTGTTGATCCGGAAAATACGGTACAAAAAGCCTCATACAGTTCTGTAAAATTCCAAAATTAGACACAGAGCTCCCGTCTGATCCCAACTTTAGTGTAAAGCTCCTCAGATTTTTCTCGAATTATTTTGATGGCTTTCATGTCTGCAGAGCATTTTAGGAAAAAAGTATCATTCAAATAGACCGAATAAACAGAGCAAAAATTAAAACCGACCGAATCTTATTACAAACAGATTTAGCTTGGGTTGACTGAAACAGAGGCAGCTTTTCCTCCTGTATTGTAGCAACTGCTAGAAAAAATCATCGATAAGGCTCCCTGAATTTTCAAATTGGATTCCAATAAAAGCCAACACTTAAGTTACTATGCTTTGAGCGTAATAGAGTTGTCAAGTGATGACGTCACAAAAATCCATCTTTATAATTTTTGAAATTTGTTACGGGCATCTGGAAGAGCATCATGAAATACCTCTAAATCTGCAAACTCTATTAAAATTTTTACGAATTGGTTGAGATATGACCAGGTGAGCGCAAGCTCTGGCCCCATCAAACGTCTGTAATTTGGTTTCAGTTCATAACTTTATGACTGAGCCAATGTGACAGTAATCCGTTAGCAAACTATAGCTCACCCGATTTTCGACAAATTTAACTAATTTGCATATATGGGTGTATTTCATGGTGTTCTTTTATGTTATGTTGCCAAAATTCTAAAAGGGGGCTAGTGCATGTCTGGAAACTGGGCATTATTCATCTCCAGAACAAGTAAGTAGGGTTGAGCCCCCAGCTTCAAGTTGTGTCATCACTGCCTGTATGTATTTCTCTTCCAGCGATTACAAAGAAACACAAAAAAGTAAAGAACATAACACAAATTCTCTTTATCCACCTACAATTGATTTTGGAGATTGGTACAGCGATGATAAAAATCTTTTTTAGATTTCTTAAATTTTGATCATCCGATATGAAGGTATACTTAAGAACAGTCACTAAATGCTAAAAGTAGACGAATCTAACCAAACTGAAATATGAAACAACATTAACTCATCATAAAGACATTTTGGTTTTAAACTCTGTTCTAGCAAATGTTTAATCTTTGACTTGCCATATCTCAGCCAAAGAAAAACTTTGTCTATTTCTAATTCACACTAAACTTTGAAATTTTATGAACAAAATTTCAAAACTTAAAGAATAGATCTAACACTGAATTGAACGGTCCAAAACTCACTCACCGGTAGGGACTGTCGTTGGGATGGGAAAACTGGTCGGGTTCAATCGTAGCTGTAGTGTTTCTTCAAATATTTCTACAAAGCAAATACACCGTGGGTAATGTAGAATGTATATTAGCAACAGTCTGAAATGTATTTTAAGCCAACCTAAAGAGTGTGGTCACAAAGATTCTCGCTCGCATGGGTCTCGTCTTTCGGTTTTGTTGGAGGCCCTGTGGCAAAACTTTGTGTTCACACCAATATTTCGCCTGTTGATCTGCATATCCCTACTGACGATATAGCATGATTTAATGTGCAAAGAAGTTGCATATAAAATAACATTTTCTGGTATTTACCTCCTCCAAAACTTGAATTTCAAAACAATGCCCTTTTCTAGATTCGGAGTGGTCATTGAAAGTCTCCCATTAGGTTGAAACATACCGGGTACATGTTCGATTGTAGCGATGACAAAAATTGCAAGCATTTGGGAAGATTGGGTGAGTGACTAATAATGTTATCATTTGTGCATTTCTTCCAGACTTATCCTATATAACTTTTCTGCTATCACAATCCTTGGTTCCCCTCACATCCAAATCCTCAAACACACGCACACAAGCACTAATTGTTTATCAGCAGGGAAAATCATATACAAACTTTTGGACAAATCTGTGTTCAAAGATATATTTATAAGAAAATCAAGATTATACGAAAGTTTTTCACGCCGCAAATTATTTTATGAGCCACGCATGCGCAGCGTATATTGACTGAAGAAAGAGCTACAATCTTTATACCTGGGTGTCTGCTAAAATTTTGAAAACATTAGTCCTTTCAAGCTAATAGAATCACAAGTTTGAAAATACCAATATTCTCATCCTCTATCCAAAAATCAACCCTCACTTTCTTCTTCACCTTTCTCCTTCGCATCTTATTCAACAGTATCGATTTGGCGCCAAATGTTTCCCTCTTTAAAATTGTTAGCAAAAGCTATTTGAACATGTTTGCAAATATTGTCACAATCGGAAGTTTGTAGACACACAAAACAGCTTTGAAAATTTTGGTGGGAAACGTGTCACGTGATGCTGTGACGTAGAAGTTGGCAACCTCTGGATTGAAAGTATTGCACTAAGACCAGTTGCTGAAAGGGGATTATTGTCCCCAGAGGAAAAATTATTTGATAACATTTGCTGGGATGGTTTTAGGTGTAAAATTTGAAACTGGATATTGATTGGGCGAGCGAGGAGGCGTTTCCAAGACAAAGGGGGTCAAGTGCGAAAATTTCAGGCTTAACTGTTTAATTTGATTTTACAAGGAAAATGTGATATATCAATGTATGGCGCAGAATATTTGCAAGCATATGCAATGTATTTTATGGGATGACAAGAAATATTTATTTCTGGTTTTTTAGGGGGGCGTGGCGATAAATCATGGCATTTTACAGATGGCTTCCTGGTGAGGGGGTTCTCGGGAATCTTTTATTTCAGAAATTTCTTATCAAAACAGATGGTCTGTTTTTTTAATTTAAATTAATTCATTCAAAGTAGAGAAATCTTTGTAATCTTACCTTATTGTGCCGCCTACGAATGCACACCGATTTTACGGGCTCCAGCAAAGTTAAACATAATTTTTCAAGGAATGCGGAAGGCATGGGTTGTGCAAGTAAATTGCGAAAGCTCCAGGGTACATCGTCACTAAAAAGCCTGTTATCTTCATTAGAGGAAATTGTTGGAATCCTGTTTTGGAAATGACGGAGGGATTGAGGGGCCTGGGCCCCAACCCCCTTTCTTGTCGAAAAATTCGGGCTTTCGGTGGATATTTGAGAAACGTTCAATGTGTCTTAGATGTTGTCTTGTCTTCAAATCGTAGGCCCGAGCCCAGCAAAATGAAAAGCTGAATTTTGCTCTAACTTCATCCGTTTTCCCAACCACTGCGTCCATTTCCTTCCACTGTTGAATTCGTTGTTACATTATTATTTTTGCAGCGTTTTCCGTGTTTTAAACTTCATTAAAAACTATATAATGCACAACCTCCATCCCAGAATAATACCAAATGACAAAATCTTTTTCAAAATCACTCGTTTTTGCAAAATAAATCAACCTTTTATAAACGAGTAGTCTATGCGCTTCAAGTGTAGTTTCAAGTGTCAACTTCTACGCCATGCGGTCACGTGATATTTTTACAAAATCGGGTCGACGGGCCCCTCCAGCTGAAATTTGTCCATTTTCCACCGAATTCGTCAATGAAATGACGGTCCAGGGCCAAGTCTCCCAAGATGGAGAAACATACTATTGCTGGGTTTTTATACTATGTTAGAGTTTGAGGATTTTGAATTAAATATACAAAAGACTGGTCAACATTTGTCCGAAATTTCAAAAATATGTCATAAAATGTTTTCGCCGAAGTTTATTGTCCGAAATTTTATACAGAAATAAAAAAGATAGAAAGGAAGAAAGAAAGAAAGAAAGAAAGAAAGAAAGAAAGAAAGAAAGAAAAAGAAAGGGAATAAGAAGACAACCCGACTCTTCTGTTAATCAATAATGATTGCTAATTTCACAGTTAAATCATTAGAAAATGTACAATTTAAGTGATTGGTTTTACTGATGTAGCTGTTTCAAATGAAAAATAAAGACACTTACCAGAAGAACAAGTGAAAGTAAACTTCTCAAGGAACTTTTTGTCTGTAAGTTTACTATATCTTTTTACCATAAACACAGATTCTGGATCGCCAGTGATGACTTCAAGCTGCTCTCGTTTAGCGCCACTTCCAATACCAACTGCAAGCAGCTTGACACCAATGGCCTTCAAAGTCAAGGCTGCAATAGCTGGGTCAATGAATCCTTCACTTTCCGTCTGTGCACCATCCGTAAGCAAAAATGCAACTCGGTGAGCATTTTCTCTTCATAAAAAAAGAGAATAGCGATGGTTGAATTACAAGAATATAAACAGCAATCTTCAACAAAAACACTATTAACTACGCATAAACCTATAATAAAGAAATGAAAACAAATAAATTTTATTATACCATTTTGCAAGTCTCATAATTCAAACTGACTTAATGGGCCTAATATTTTATTTCTGAATAATAAGCAAATACGAGCGACTCAAACCACCGGGGCAGCACTTGAGCCTGCACCCAGTGAATTTTATCCAACGCTGTAAGCCCTGCTTTTTTTTACCCGATTTAATTTGCCTAAAAATTTTTTATCAAAATATGATAGAACCGACTATGTCTTACGGTAAACATTAAGAGAAAAAACTTTGGACATTAAAATATTTGGAAATTTGAAAATGAAATGTCTTGCTCACAAAAATTTAGCGTTTGAAAAGAAAGTGATGCAAGAGCTGGCTACTAATGAAACAGTACAGTATCTTATCAAACAAATTCACTTGGTAACCTCAAAACATCCTCATTATTCACAACAAGTGGCATACTTTCATTGTAGTCAACATCGATATCTTCTGTTTCGTCCACCTTGTAATTTCCTTGAATCAATTTTGGAAGCAAGTGGCGGGAATAACCCCATTAAGAGCATGGGAATTCTTAATGAGTACCTTTCGAACACTTGCGACATTTTATGTTCAATCGTGTAAAATAGACTTTAATAAGCTTTCTAAAATGCAATATGCTATTCAAAAAATTAAAAAGAAATTAAAGAGTGCTTCAGCTTTTGTCCCAATTTTTTCAAAATCAATCGAAATTTCGTGAAAAAGCGTCCGCAATTTTCTGCCAAAAAAATTTGTCCAAGATTGATTCGTCCGAAATTTTTGGCGTCTAATGTATTATGCTATATAGAAATTAATTTCCATAGACACGCAAAACACGAAGTGTCGTTTTAAACGGGGTCATAAGAAGATCCTTCCTAGCCTTAATTTTCACCAAATGTGAGTACGATATGCACATTATCAATTATTAAAAAGTATTAAGTATATTTAATATTTGGCATTTTTTCAATATTCCTTCAAATTGTGCAGAAAAATGTCGAACATGAGAATCCCAGCGAAACTAAGACCATAGCAGCCCCTTTGGTAATGTCTTAGATACACGTCTTCTAATTTATCTTTTGTTCTGTCACACTTCCAATACACTTCAGGTTTTTTGCCTTCCCCCAACATCATCCTAGCTTTATATCTTGCAATGTGTTTCAGGGTTTGAATGTAATGATTAGAGACAAGGATTCCTTTTAAATGATCGACCTTCATTCTATAAGTACCTGAATTTGAAGCGTTTGCTTTTTTCGCATGTCTCACAAGTCTAGTCAAAATCTAACTATCCACTCAAACACAATACTACTTCAACTCCGTTCTTGTCTATCATACCACATCAAGTGCATGATCAACAGCTTCATGGCAGGCCAATCGAAACACAATTGTCACACTCAAAACACACAAAAAAGTATGCCCTTGTTTCTGGGCTTACCTTGCGCCATATCCTTTTGTGAAGAGCTTATCGTACGCAGCCTTCAAGCCCTCGTCGATGCGAGTGACCGAGTACTTGTGCGCCAAAAGTTGTACACCTTCTTTGAACTCCTCTAAAACATAATAATCATTGAACTTTATGGGCACAGAGGCAAACTGGCTGAACAATACCAGACCAATGTGGGTTCCATTTTCTGATAGGCCATTCTCTTGAGCAATAGTCTTTATGAAATCCTTTTGAAGCTGATAATCTTTCGGTAGTATACTGCCAGAAGAATCCACGATAAATGCAATGTCAAGAACAGTGGCACAATTTCCTGAAACGAAAACATGTATTTAACTAGATTTTAAATGCGCAATAAAAGGTTTCTTTAAAAATGTTCTCGAGAGAAATCTGTCATCTTTCTTTAAAGGAATATCAGATAACGAAAAACAATTTTGTCCTCTTGGTTGTTGAGTTCTCTATCAAATTCACGTATCCAACAATTCCTGTTCATTTATTAATTATATAATCGACAAAGCTATATAAACACTTATATAAAAATATGCATTGATGTTGCTTTTTTCAGACATTTTCTAGGTGTTCATTCATGTCACAGAAAGAACAAACGAATTAGGTATCTTGTTTCCGGGTCAAGCTTCCAAATTAGGTTGGACTTCTCCAATTTTACGTGGACTGACGAAAATGCTGCACTTTTAACACGAGTATTTATCGACTACAAGGCAGCCAAGATGGCGAAAGGTCTTGATTGGGAGACAGTGAAAATTAAATAGGATGAAAAAGCCAATCGCTTTCGAGCAATATACGATATGGATAAAATTTTTCCGGATAAAACCGTTTACTGTACCACATAGCTATCCGAACTAATTTAATCCACTTTCCTAGGTGAACTAATTTTGTTCGGATAGCCGCTCTCGAATTCGTGCGGATAGCGTGGGTCTAGTGTAAACGCGACGCCTATCTGAACTAAGTTTGATGCGGATAAAATTCATCCGGCACCGTGTCTAAATACCAAATAAGAAAATAAATACCCTGAATATATTAATATGATCTATATACAGTTAAAGTTACGTTATGCACAGTAATCTATCGTATAGCAGCTGGTCTTCCAGGGAGTCGTGTTTTATGTTGTGTCCATCTTGTATAATAACTTTTCAATTGCTTTTTGAATTCACAAAGTGTAGGGAGCTCTCTGATATTCATGGGAATATCGTTCCAAACTTTCAGAGCCGAATAGTGAAAGCCTTTCTTGACAAATTCAAGGTTATTTCTTGGGATTTGTAGGTCCCTGCAATTCCTTGTTCTGTAGACCATGATGATTTTTATCCCAAAGGCTTTCAGAACATTGTCTGCTGATTATTCTGTACTTTGTTCGTTGCTCAACGGTCAGCCAGTTATGAGACCAGTTGTCTTTGAGTCTGGCCTTATCAATAATCGGGCGTGCTCTGTCCTGCAGAAGTTGGACAGTATTCAATTTAGATTTAGGAAGACTTCCCCAAATAACATTAGCGTATCTCAGATGGCTTTTGATAAGTACACAGTACACATGGTCGAGCTGGGATTGTGAAATAAGATTTTTCAGTTTTTTTTAGCTACTTCAGACCGCCATTAATCTTTCCTTTCACTTTGTTGAATTGGTCATCCCAGTTTAGCCTTTCGTCCACCATAACCCCTAATGATTTGGTCTTCGCAACTCGCTTTATTTCTGAATCATTAAGGTGCAGTGGTTTTGAGATTTCAACTTAATTTGTCCTCCGTGGATGGCCAATAATCATGTATTCAGTTTTTTTCGGGTTTGCGCTTAGTTTGTTTATCTGCATCCATTCCGAGGTGTTTTTGAATTCTTTTTGGGTATTTGTAAGTAGAACTTCGATGTTATTAAATGTTAAGCATTTGTGTCGTCTGCATACATGCTAGCCTGAGAGAATGCCAAACACTTTTCGAAGTCATTTAGGTAGATGGTAAACAGGAGTAGTCCCAAGCATGACTCTTGAGGTAGACCACATGTTACCGACTGTTGTCCCATAACTGAGCAGAATTTTTTTCTAGATCATGCTCAAGAGTTTCCCCTCATAACGAGTGTTTTTAATCTTTTTATCAGTATTGTATGATCTATGGTATCAAATGCCTTTTTCAAATCGTGAAATGTGGCCAAGTTGAACTGTTTTTGTCCATATTGTCATACCAATAGTCAGTACCATTTATCAGGGATGTTGTAATGGAATACATTTCTCAAAAAGCAGATTTATTTGGCGTCAATACTTTGTTTGATATGATATTTAATTAGCTGATCGTGAACTATTTTTTCCAACATTCGAGAAAAAACTGAGATGACAGAGATAGGTCTATAATTGTTTCCATCCCTTTTTTAACCCTGATTCAAAAATCGGTGTGACTTTTGCTAATTTTCAGATATCTGGGAAAGCACCATACTTTAATGATGAGTTGAAAACCATGTTTAGTGGTTTCCAAATGAAGTCTGCTGCATCTTTAGTTAGCGTAGTGGAGATCTTGTCTGGGGCCGGTGCCTTACCATGTTTTAGTTGCTTGATGGCATTTAGGCACATATGTTTCATCGATATGTACAAATATCATTTTGTTTTGCTGAACATTGATATGCTTGAGAGAATCCTCATCAGGCCTAGACTCTAAGTTTCGGTCCAATGTTGGTAAAGTGATGGTTAAGTGCTTCAGCTATATCTTTTTCTTTTGTAATTGTTAACCCCTCAAACTAAGCTCGAAATTTTTTCGAAGGGATTGCTTTGTCTAGTATCTTATTGATAACCTGTCACATTCTTTTGGGATCTCCCTTGTTTTCTTCAATCATATCAAGATAATGTGATTGTATTGCATCTCGAAATTCATGCGTTACCTTATTACGGAGATGCTTGTTTACGCTCCACCTTTCAGGATATGTTTTCGCCGCTTCCTTAGCTGCATCCCTCTCTTTCATTAGTTTTCTGATGTCTGGGGTGATCCAGTGAGTAGAAGTATTGCCTAACCTCCTTTTGATCAAGGGTGCATGGATATCTAAAACCGACTCAAAGATCTCCTGAAAAGTGGTAGTCATATTATCAAGATTATCAGCGTAAGAGGTAATGGTGGTATCCCAGTCTATTTGCTGCAGGACGTTGCGTAACAATGCCCTGTCTTAACTGCTCAGAAAGCGAATCTCCAAAACTTTTGGTTTTTTATTTTTGACTCGCCATGCATTCACTTTTCTTATTCCGTATACCAAATAATGGTCAACCATCCCTAACTCTAGAACGTCTGCCTTCAATATATATATTGAGCTAGTTGTTGAGAAATGGAATGGTTCAAAATATATATGACAGCCGTCTATAGCCCCAAAGCAACATTGAAATTGCCACTCCACACAGTTGCAGTCTCTAATAACCAACAAGCTCTGCGATAGTGTAATGTAGTGTAGTGTAGAGGCAAACTGCTAGCCTCATCATTGGAAAGGCAGGATCTTCAGAGATCGCTTCTTTAGAAAGCACTGGTGCAATTTCATCGAGAAAAAATAGAAACGTAGCTTTTGTGATTCTAAAATTTTTTTTGAAACGTCTCTTATCGGATGTATTCCAGAACATCTGCCACAAGCCGTGAAGCCTTGGCAGACGTTTGCATGTTCTTGTAATTGGATCCTGTATCATAGTTCCTTGCCAGCATGCAATTAGCATAACCAGCTAAAAATACAGTCCCGTTGACGTCTTCCATCTTTTATAAGTTTCCAGGAATCTACCGTACCTCATTTTTCTTTGTCGATTGCTTTCATTTCGACGACGTTTATTGCGTTTAAATGCGATATGAGAATGAGTGCTTTCTTCGAGGGCGCCATTTTGATTTTTGAAACAAATCGGCCACAACAACCACGTCTAAAACCGAGCAATAATTGAAAGCGCTCCAAGGGCGCTTTTTGAGCGAATTTAATTGCATTTAATTCGCTGCACTCAAAATGCGCTGTCTAAACTAAGTCTTAGCATTTTACTGATATTTTGTTCATTGCGCTCATTCGTTGTTACAGCTACTCGATCGTAGCATTCCGTTGGTCAAGCTGATGCTCCGAGTAAATTGTTGAACATTTTTTCGCGTTTGAAGTTTGGTTATTTTTGAGATTGCAGTTTCTATCCCCTTTAAAGGTAATTTCTTTGCTATCTCTATCTAAATTTTTCAAAACTTCCCTAAGGTTTTAGAATGCAGCATCTTCTGCTGTTGGAGATCTATACCAACAAACAACGAGAATAAGTTTTGCATGCTTCGGTGCAATTTCAAGCGAGATCAATTCCAATTTTTCACTCTTAATTCTCACTGTTGGTTCAGGCTAACTTGCCTTGACATAAATTGCAACAGCTCCACCATTTACATCACGATCATTTTTAAAGATGTTGTAACCACTGATGCTGGCTTCAGAGTCGCTTATTGTTTTGTCAAGCCGCATCTCACTAAGACCATTACTATCTATATCATGGTCGTTAAGAACAATTTCTAGCTCATGTTTATGTTTTCTGAGGGAGACTATATCTAAAAATGCTTTTTTTTGACCATTCCTCTTTCTTGGTTGCTCTGATCCACACTTTGAATTCTCGTTATTATAACTGAGACACCCCAAACAGTATTTTATAAAACTAGTAATGTTTTCAGAAAACTTTCTGATACCTCCATCATTAATGTGGAGGCAGAGCAGGGGCAAAATAAAAAATGTCTCCAAAACTGTCTTAACAAGATAAAGAAAATAATGCAAAAAATTAGAAAGCCAATACTTTGGTTATTAATGACTTTGAAAAAAGCAAACATTTGAGTCATACTAAGCCTTTCAACCTGTAATTCGTTCATTTTGTTGGTCATGGTCAACTTTCTTTTTTGTAATACACACTTTTTTATAAGAACAATTTTATGAGAACACAAGCCTCAAAATTGGTCAAAAGTTAAAACAGATTAAGAACAAGCTGAGGCTGAGCTACTGTAAAATGTAATTTTGAACAACATCTTATCTTATAAAGGAGCATTTTTAGCCATGTTTGGGTGCTTTTTCGGCGAATATTCAAACTTCTCACTCGCTTTGTTGGCAAATCAGGCCTGAACATCTCCCTTGAGCAAAAACGCTAGCAATCACACTATTAATCAATTTAAGAACAAATTAAGAACAATCAACCCTCAGAAAAAACAGTCAGCCTGAACTCGAATTCACTGGTTCGTACATAAAAGAGCGCATTGCAAATAACTTGCTATAAGGAGCAAGCTAACGACTATAATAAATGACTGCAAGAAATAACTGCAAGAAGTTTTTTGAGATGCATTTTAAGCTAATCTGAA